GCAAATTGCATTCATGAGAATTTGCTTTTAATTATAAAACTTGCCCACAAAAGTTAGGCAACTATGAAGAGGAAAATTGGTGTGGAGGTGGGGAAAATCTGTGCGTTGGCTCTTCCTACGTATGCCACACACACACACCGAGAATATCTTTCACCTCCGCAGGCCATCAATAGATTTATGGCAGCTCGTCCTCTGGTTTCGCTAGCCTCAAAAATTACATCCCAAAAAGACAATCGACAAATGACAGATTGTACGTGTAATTAGAAGCTCACTTGTGTGTGTGCGAGCCAATTCTGATAAACATTCACACAAATACACTTAGATATAGATACAGATACAGATACAGATACAACTGTAAACTGCATCAAATTGTAAACTTTTTGAAGTGGCAAAACTTTTTTTTTTCGGTGTGTTGCAAGCTGTAATCTCCAATTACAAAATGCACGGAAGAGAATCCAATTCTCTCTCAATCTGTGGCCAGGGAGCAGCCCACTCCCCTGGAGGGTTTTGCCTTGGGGGAGCAGCAAAAATGAAAACAAAACGAAACACGACTAAAGTGGGATTTTCGGGCCAGCAAACGGGAGCAGAGTGGAGCGAAGCAGCAGCAGTTGTTAACCAGAAAAACGGAAATTTATGACCAGCCAAGATCCGATATACAGCCAACAGCAATGCACTTGCTCAGGGGGGGTGTGTGGGGTTATTGGATACGATACGAGAATGTAGTAGTAGTGTTGTTCGAGCTGCTACTGCCCTAGAGAATCCTTGTGCACACAATTGTCTTGGCATTACGCACAAGTGAAGTGCGTTTTTGGGGCCGCCTGGCCGCCTGGCCGGTAAATCGTAAATTACGATTGCCAAGAGAGCAGTGCGGAGGGGTGCAAGCAAGCAAAAGTAGATATAAACCCTGACTGCCCCAGGGGAATTTCACCAGTTTTGGCCTCGCCTCCACCATAAATCGAAGGAATTTGAATTATGAAATCGCAGTCTGCTGTACCTTTCCTTTTCCCCTTCTCATATCTGCTTTTCCATTGCAAATTGAGTGCCCGGCAATTGAGTTTTCGATTTTGGGGCTGGCAACAAACAATCGCCTCATGCCACGCCTTCCTGCCATCAGCCAAATATATAAACAATGACAGTGCATAAATAATAGGGAATTATTTATGAGCTGCCAAAACAAAACCAAAAATCAAAAGAAGGAAACAAAAGTTGGCAAAAGAAAAAGCGGAAATCATTTGGGGCAATAATCATAAATTTTGTGGCTAATTAATTTATTGGATTCGGACTGGGAGCTCTTGTGGCACGTGCCCGGCTCGATTGCTGATTACCTGCTGGCTGCTGGCTGCTGGACTGCCCGAGAGCTCAGCTTTTGAGGTGGACACTTGATTAACCAAATAACAGCCAAGCCAATTGCATTATCCAAGTATATTAAAGTGCTTTACAGAGAGGGAGAGAGAGAGTGAGATTGTGGGTTTGGCATTGGAGATTTCATAAATCACTTGGTTGTCCTGTGGGAGGCGTGAGACTCGAAATCATTTGGTATTTATGATCTCCTGAAGTGGAACCAAATGGAAATATGTGCAGCTAAAACAATCATTTGTTTGCCTTGTGCGGCTGGGCTGGTTGGGTGGCTATAAATTTGTTTGATTTCCAAAGTTAATGACAAATTGCACACATTAATTGTAAATCAATTTATGCTGGAGAAAATAGATACATTGGATGATAGATAAATAATTTAATTGTAATATTAATTAGTGGACATTAAGACAGTGCAGTGGGTAAATGTAAATAGGTGTTTAGAGTCCAAAATCAATGCCATACGTAAGCCAAAAAGGGCTTACACCCAAGGCTAAAACTCCATCAATTGCACGCGCACTTTCTCTCCTTCCTGCTCTTTTTCTCTTGCACACATTTCACTTTTAAATTTCCACATTTCACAGAATCCACCTTGATGCCAGCAGCTCTTTCCTCATTTGCCCAATCCAATTTCTATAGTTTATGGGGGAAACCCTCACCTTCAATTAAAATAAGTAAAAGGCTGCGGAAAAAAACAGAAGGTTGGGCTGGAGGCTGGCGGCTGGAGGCTGGGCGTTGGCTGCAACATCAAATGTTCATGGCAACAACACAAATGCTCGGGGTTTACATTCGTAATTTTCTGGAATTTCTAATTGTAATATGCAAAATGCATGTCTGTATATGTGTGTGTGTGTGTGTGTGTGTGTGTGTGTGTTGGCCACGTTAGTAGAGTACTCGTGCGAGTGTATGCAAATGTATTCAAATGCAAATGTGGCTGCCGCTCCGTATAATTAGAAGAAATACAATTAAATGCACACAGCAGCAGGGGCAGCAGGGCCAGGATGGGGGGGGGGGGGGGCATACCTTATATAAAAGTCAAATTCATTAGTTAAAGCATTGCGGCCAAAAAACCGCACACACATACACACCACACACACACGCGGACTTGTGGAGAAAACTGCAACGAGAAAATGTTTGAATTAGAGGTAGAAAAAAGCGCCTCCCCCACACAACCCACACAATGAAAATGATTTCTTAATGCAATTCCACATATTCCTGCCACATTCTTCTTCATCACTTCCGTTTGGTTGTTTTTTCTTCTGCGTGTGCCCCGTGTTCCCTCTTCATGCAACCATTGTTCGCGCTTAAATCTCTCTCGCACTTTGCTACCCGACAGAGAATCCGGCCAAAAAATAGCAACACATAAAGAATAATAGCCAGGGGAGTGGGTGTGTGACCCAGGAGTAGTTGCAAAGTTTTCCACAGCCATTTCCCGGTGCTTTTCACTGGCTGTTTTCACTGCCTGTTTTTTTGTTTTTTTTGTTTGTTTTTTGCTGCTGAAGGTTGGAGTTGCATGGCGTATCAGCTCGAGACTTCCGGCAGTATCTTTTGTTGGCCTGAGCCCCGGCTCAAGCTGCAAGCTTCTTTAGGGCCATGCGGCACACACTTAGCCCGAGCCATCCCCATCCCGCACTGCTGCCACCGATACGATCCTTCCTGACAGCTTGAGAGCTTCATCAGAGTCCATGCGTTGAGTTCCGTTGCGTTGAGTGCCTGCCACAGTATTGTTTATTGTTCTTTGCTTTTGCCGCTCTTTTTCCTCCACCTAGGAGGCACACACACACGAACACGGGCAACCCTTTTTGCCTCTGTTCAAGCTATCATTGGCAATCATAAATATTTATCAAACTAAAGATGGCCCAAGGACACGGAGCCACCGTGCCACTTAAGGCAAGCTGGTTAAAGGGAAAAAAAATTAAATTCAATTTGCATGTGTTAAGTGGCAGAAGCAATTAAAGGAGCAACGGAATGATAAGAGGAAGTGGCAGGAACAGGCATCAGGCATCAGGCATCAGGACAACTACCTGAAACTGAAGCTTAAAGACGGCGGGCCAAGTGGCAGCTGGAGTTACGCAGCAGAAGCTAAAGTTCAATTCACGACCTCAAAGGGCCAAACACCCCACCACCCACTTGATTGAGATGTGAAAAGAGCAAAAGTAAAAGCAAAAGCACAAAAGAAAAAGGCCGAAAGGACACGACACATCAAGCAAGTGCCTGGCTAAAGGGAAGGACACATCAAGCACGAGAGAGCGCCCAAGAAAAGGCCGTCAAAGGGGAGGAGGGGAGGAGCACAAAAGAGCGCATGGAAAGGCGCGTCAGGCGAAAATTGGGTGAAAATGTGGAAATCATAATTGGCTTCCAAATGCTTGAACTCAATTATGTGCGCACAATTTTTGGCGGGACAACAGCAACAGCAACAGCAGCAGCGGCAGCAACCGCGCCACGAACGGCTGCCGTTGACAAGCAAATTATGGATTCAAGGCCAAAAATTCTCTCTCTGTGTGTGTGTGTGTGCCTGGGAAATGGCACTTTCACTTTGGGGAATGCTCAAGACAATTTGCATAGCATTTTGCCAGGGCAGGAAAAGGAAAGCAGCTCTTGCTCTGCCTCTGTGACTGCACAAGAAGGAGGTTCTTGCCTTGGTGATCCCAAAAGACATACAGACATGATAAATTACTCAAACCTAAATTAAAGATAAATCATGGCTGCACACGAGAATGGAAATGCACAGGGAAATGCACACACCGAAAGCCCTTAAAGTACAGAGAGCCAAATTAGGGTGCTCCCAAAGGTTATGGCAGATGGGAATCTAGAGTTATGAGTTAGTCAAGGATAAAGACAGCGGAAGGTAATCCCCGCGCATTGGTTGACAGCTGGCAAAGGGACTTCCGAGGAGTCGTCTGCAGCTTGGGACATCGTTAAGTAATCGATCTGGCAGCAGGAGCAGCTTAAAGTTTGCCCCTTTCCCAGTCCCCATTTAAGCTGCATGCAACCACAATTTGCTTTACGAACCCTCAAAAAAGGAGAGCGCCGAAAGCAGTGGCACGTGCTCAATGCAGTTTGAAAGGACACCACACGGGCGAGTCATGGTCATTCCAGCGTATCGGTGTGCAGCGGCACAACTCGTTGGGAGCGTCACGTAGTAATCGACACATTCCCCAAATCTCTCGGCAGTTTATTGACTCTGCAACGGACTACGGGCCCACCTCGAAGAGGCAAATTGGATGATTGTACCCTGAGGGAAGGAAATGAAAGCCATATGGCAAAAAAAGCAGAAATATGAAAGGTAGAAGAAGCTCAGTGGTTGAGTGAGTGATGGAAATACTTTCTTATACAGATGATTTCAGATGGGTGCCAGATTGATTCCAGGCTGATTGCAGTAAACTGAAAGGGTATTCATAGTTCAACTAACTGAAAGCTTTCAAACTTATACGCTAAAGCTTTACACGCTCTTCGCACGATCTGGCTAAAGCTCGTTTCAGAGCACAGTTTTCTCTCAAACTTTCGACTGGCAGCAGCTAAAAGTGTATCATGCTTGAAAATATTTTTGCTAAACAACAAATAAGTGTAAAATAAAGCAACAAAAAAGGAAAACAATGTTCAAAATGAAAGATCGATGCAAAACACACCTGAAAGCAGCGCAAAAATAAACATAAATCTTAAAAAATAAACAAAATCAAGAACTAAAATGCGTTCAAGCAAAAGTGCGAAGAGCGAGAGCATTGAAAAAGCTTTAGAGCCGTTTGCTCTCCCACTCTTTATCTCCCTCACTCACGCACGCTAGAACCTGTGCGGTCTCTTCGTACACAAAGCTTCAATGCGCTCTGGAGCGGCGCTCTCTTTGGCAGTATGTCTGCTACAGCCACTGCATGCCGTTTCATTCCACGCACAGCTGTTCGGCATATTGGGTTGTAAGAAGGCAAAGAGAAATGCTTAAAGGCGTACAACACTAATCACACACTCAACATTTACTTAGTCGAGATACTACAGATAATACTGTGGAATTGGATCAAGCATAAAAGTTACCCCGCCGTTCAAAGTTCAATAGGCCGACGGTCGTGATGGGCACTTTGTCGCTGACAGATGTGAGTCAGCGAAATCAAAAGCAGTAGATATTGTAGATGCCGGCATCGATCGATTGCTTACACTATCCAACATGCAACTAAAACCCGTTTCTCTTTTGCAGTACGAGGAGGTGAAAATTCCCGTGCCCTGGGGTCACATATCAGGCCGCTGGCATGGCAATCGCACGGAACGACCGATCCTAGCGATTCACGGCTGGCTGGATAATCTGGGAACCTTTGACCGTCTCATACCGCTGCTGCCCGACTGCGTGGGATTGCTGTGCATCGATCTGCCCGGACATGGAAGATCGTCCCGCCTGCAGCCAGGACTCCACTACTCCGTCCACGATTACGTCTTCATTATACCGCGAGTCATGAAGGAATACGGCTGGCACAAGGTCTCGCTAATGGGCCACTCTTTGGGCGGCATCATTGCCTTTGTCTACGCGGCCCTCGCACCCCACACTGTGGACATGATCATTTCGCTGGACATACTGCGACCGCTGCCCTCTGATCCCAGAGGAAAGGATGTGGATACTTTTCGCAGCCATTTGGAGAAGCATCTGGTGGAAGATGAGCGCCAGGAGTTGGGCAAAATGCGTGAACCGCCCTCCTACACGCTGCCCGAACTGCGGAAAGTACTCGCAAAGGGCAGCTACAACTCGGTGCCACCGAAGGATGCGCAGCATTTGCTCTATCGCCAGGTGGCCAAGTCGCAGCTCTACCCCGATCGATTTTACTTCTCGCGGGATGCACGTGTCAAGTACTACTACCACATGTACATAGACGACGGCTTAGCAGCGGAGTTGGCGCGACGCATCAAGCGAAAGCCCTATCTCATCATCAAGGGTTCCCTGTCGCCCTTTGTGGGACCCCACTGTGACGAGCCCATGTCCATTTTGCGCCAAAACAATCCGCACTTTGAGTTCCACGTAGTGGAAGGCACCCATCATGCGCATCTGCATAATGCCGAGGAGTGCGCCAAGCACATTGTGCCCTTCATCAGACACCATCGTCCACCCCATTTGACCAGCTGGTCGCTGACGGGCAAAGAGTCGCAGCTCAGCTCCAAGGAGCGACGCCGTGCCCAGGAGCAGTTCTTTGCCAGGAGCAAGCAGAGCCAACAGAGAAGCAAACTGTGAGATAAAATAGCGCTTAAAGTGCCACAACTAAATTTGTATTAAATTTAATTAAAGCAAATGATTTTGTACTGTTTTGAGCTATTTCCGTGCACAGATCTGTGCGCATATATAAATAAATATTTCATACAGATAAGACAGTGGCTCTGGCGCTGCCTATATGTTGGGAGGAAGTGAGGCTCCCGTGACACTAGCACACAAATGTATTTAAATTTATATTTTTAGTTAACTTAACTACATCTACCTATAATCCTTGGTATTTAATCCACCGATTCCTCTTATTTGATCTATTTTTAATGTTTTCAATACAAATTAGGATTCCTTTTTGATTTATGATTTTTTGTAATAAAAATTAAAAAAAGATTCATTGTTTTGTATTTTTGTTAAAGTTAAAATAAGAGTTATTCCATACCTTTTATTAAAAAAAAATTAAATTCAATTGATCATTCTTTGAGCGGTGTTTGACCATAAATTAACAACTTTTCCGAATCTATTACCAAAAATTTATACAGAATCCTAATCTATGACAACACGAATATTTACTATTTCCATTTCCTTACTTTCAAAAACTTTTTTAGTTGTTCGCTAATTGCACTGCCCACTGTACCTAAACTTTGTTTATCGCTTTAGCTTACCCACTGCAGCGACCGTTCTTTCGGCTCTCTTTCTTCTGCGCCTACTTCGTTCCTGCAGCTCTTCTCTTCGCTCGCGCTCTCTCTACCGTTCACGCTGCCCAGTTACAGTTATTTCCCAAATGGTAATTGTAATTGTATTTTTTTTGTAATTGTAACACCTTTGGCCATCGTTTTTCCTACCCACCGCATCACTAATGAAACACTACTAAAAACCCAACAATTTCCAAAAAGAGTTTATATGCGCAGGAGATAAGACATGGAAGTAGGCAGCTCTATCCCTCTCGCTCTCTCACACATTTCAGGCGGCTTCTAACGTCTCAAAACGATTCCAGATTCCACCGGCTTTCGGTTGCTGCTGTTTGTTTCCCCAAAATGAACAACGCAGACCGATCACCGACTCAGTCCGCGCGTAGATCTTAGAGCGAACGGTCGCCCAAAATACAAAAAAAAAGCTAAAAATAAGTGAATTTAAATTTTCATAGTGGTAATAAGCACTGCAGATAAGACAGACACACACTTGCCTTAACGCTGATACGCAGTCTGGGCGCATAGTTTATGACAAGGATGGGCACTCTATCGCTGGATGATGTGAGTCGTTTGATAATGCCCAAAAAGTAGAAAAGTGTCCAGAATTTTTTTATGGTTTTTGCAGTTTAAGGCGGTGCAAATTCCCGTGCCATGGGGTCACATATCGGGTCGCTGGTATGGAAATCGAACGGAACGACCCATTCTGGCGATTCACGGCTGGCAGGACAATTTGGGGACCTTTGACCGACTGCTGCCCCTGCTGCCCGACTATTTGGGCATCCTGTGCATTGATCTGCCTGGCCATGGCAGGTCCTGCCACCTGCAGCCTGGCATGCACTACAGCGTCGATGATTATGTCGACATCATTCCGCGCGTAATGAAGGAATATGGCTGGCAAAAGGTCTCCCTGTTGGGCCACTCCATGGGCGCCATTCTGATGTTTGTCTATGCTGCCCTTGCGCCGCATGCTGTGGACATGGTCATATCGCTGGACATTCTAATATCTGAGTGCAGGCAGCCGGAGGGCAACAATCTGCGGCTAGCCGCACACAATATGGAGAAGCATTTGGGCGAGGATGAGCGACTGGTGGGAGGCTGCAGCCGCGAACCGCCCGCCTACACGCTGGAGAAGATGTGCAGTGCCCTGGCCAAAGGCAGCTTCAACTCGGTTCGCCAGGAGGTGGCACACCACATGCTGCACCGCCAGGTGACCCGGTCGCGGCTGTATCCCGGAAAGTATTACTTTTCACGGGACGGGCGGATAAAGTTCATAAACCACGCCTACCTCGATAACGGACTGTTTGCGGAGATGGCACGTCGCATCGAAACGAATCCCTACCTCGTCATCAAGGCCTCCGATTCGCCATTTGTGGGGCCCAGCGAGGCCCTATCTATTCTGACTGCCAATAATCCAAATTTTGAGTTCCACGAAGTGGAGGGCACCCATCATGTGCATCTCAATGAGCCCGAAAAGTGCGCCCAATATATTGTGCCCTTTCTCATTCGCCATCGACCCCCACCGGCACTCAATAGCTGGTCCAAGGAGCAGTCGTTGCAGGGAAAAAAGACATTCCAAGCCAACAGCAAACTCTGAAGTAGCATTAAAAATTCCACTCATAAATGTAGGTACGACTAGGATATTTGCTGATATTTCTTTTTGCGTTGCTGTGCAGCGTGGGTGGATCGAATGTTTGTTCGATTTGCAAACAAAAAAAAGATTACTGAGGAAAGTGCAAGTGCTCCAGATTACACTCCCTATCTATAAGCCCCAATACGCCATAATCTTTTGCTCTTTTCTTTTGGATTTTATTTATCGCTAATCATTTTGATAGCGTAAATGGCATAAAGATTATTGATTTGGTTCTTTGTTGTCGGTGCTCAAGGAAAATCAACATATTTAGTATTAAATTTATGAATCATAGTTGAAGGCAAGTTGTGCTAAATTTTACATAATATTTACTGCCTTTTTGGATACTAATTGATTAATTTTTGACAATTTTCTAGTTGTAACTGTGGTAACTTTTTAGTAGCTTTAATCATCTACCATCTCTCTCCCATATTCTCTGATTTACTCTTATATTTATCAATCTACCAGTTCCTACATCCAATAGCTTTCAATCTGCCCACTTTTGCAATCTTTTTGGACAATTTTGTCAGGTATTTATTAAATTTTCCTCCTCATTGATGGGTGTCAAAGCCAGAGCTTGTGTTCATACCTAAGCAGAGTCAGGTCCTAGCAAGTCCTAGCTACACATCCTCCCCGCTTCCTTCTGTGCGTGTGTTCTTTGCTCATGCCTCTGGTAATTTCCTGCAATTTGTGAGCAATTTTAAGCAGCTTAGTGCTTGAGCGCATTAGAACAATTAGCGCTATCAGCAGTGCCATCCATCCATAGATTCCCGTAGATTTGTTCGTGCACGAAAAGTTAAGCTGGCAGCAAGTCAATGGCAAGTGTCCTTCGTCAGTCCTTTCTGCCATCGAATGTTTATTAATATAAATATTAGAAATAGTTTTAAACTAAATCATTGAATTAATATTCCCCGTAATTAGTAAATGAATGCAAATGAAATGCGGAAAAAGTTGTTGTTGAGTAGTGCCAGGAATGGGACTGGCGCGCTGCTCTGCTTCAATGAAAATTAATTTTCCCGCAGCCTGCTTTTAGGCATGGCAACGAAAAGCAGCCATGAAGAGTGTTGGGTTGGTGAGAGGGGTGGGGTTTCGGCAAATGGCAAGTCCTTCCGTCATACTTATTAATTTAAACACTTGTCGTTGTCCTTGTTGTTACTTTCAGGACGCCTTCCTGCTGTGTCCTTGAATGGCTTTTGTTTTGGGACAAACGGTAGGAGGGATGAGGCGGCCTTCTTTGAATTTTAAACATTTGTTTGTGCCACGCATAATTTCGCTGTCATATTAATATTTATGCGCACCCAGAGAAACTTTTCGCCTTTGTCTTCTCAGTTCGTTGCGCCTCGGATATTCAATCAATTAATGTTACCAAATGGCAGCCACTTTCCCCCCAACGAATTTCTGTTTTCTGCTTCAGTTTTTTTTTGTTCTGGCAAACACTATCGATTTTGCCATTTTATAGAGGTGCGGCTGCTGCTGCTGCTCCTGCCACATACGCACACGTGGCATACATTCTCCCTCCGCATGTGTGTGTGGTTGTGTTTTCGTGTAATCAGAGACGCCGCAGGGTCTCCTTTCATTCTGTTCATTTTTCGGCAGTTTTGAAGGTGAAACCATAAAGCCTTGGCATATGCCTAGATTTTTGCTAAATTAAAGTGGGTTTTGGGGTCGGGCATGAAACGAGCACTTAAAAGATGCCTTTCTGCGGAGAGGGAGGGGCTTGGGCTTGGGTTTGGGCATGGTGCCAAGGGTTAACTCAACGCATTTTCGCTTCCAATTTCAGCAACAATTTGAACTTTTGCCTTTTTTTTGGTGTGATGTTTCTTAAAGTTTTCAAGGAAATGCAGAATTTTGAGAGGAAATTTGATGTTTCTTGTGGGGTGTTGTGGGGTTTCCCTCCTAGAGCTTATTAATTGAAGTTTTTGCGTGCATTTGAGCTTTAATTTTGTTTGAATTTTGATATGAAAAGTTAAGTCTCAAAGATGAAGGCATTTGAAAATGTTTTCCTTGAACTTTTAAGTGTAAATATATTTTATTTAATTAACGCAATAAAGGCGCTAAGGGCAGGGGAAATTCGAGCTTTATTTTGGGCTAATTTGGAACATGTTTCTTTAGCCTACAATTTTACAATTATTTGCCTAAATTTTCTTCCAAATGACATACACTTTTCTGTGATTTAAATAGCTTTGATATGTTTAAGTAAACAGCCCAAAAAACCCCACATCTTTATCTCTTTCGAAACCAATAAGTGAAGCATAAACCAATCTAAACATTCGCCATCATCAAACTAAATCTTCAACTCTCGATACGAAAGCAGCCATAAATATCAAAATTGCCCACAAAAACTGGGACTAGAACTAGGATATGTTGAGCAAGCACAACTACGGAATACTCGTATCCATCCAATAAACATCAACGGCCACACCTATTGATTGGCCCACAAAATGGCCAAAAACTACGGCAGCCAGCCAGCCAAATGATTTAAAACGAGCCACAAGGATCTCAGGACTGACTCTCACTCTCTCACTGTGGAAAATGAAATGGTGGAAAACCCTTAAACCAGTTGAATTATGCAGCGGAGCCTGCTGCCCGCCTTCCGCCTGCTCTCACTCGTGTGGCACAAGGCTTAATAAACCAAACTTAACGAACAACTGTTTAAAATTCGAGCGGGCCTTCGAGTCTGCAATAAATCTGAGGCCACAAACTGCACTCGATTGCCCGGGGGCATGCAACGTCTTCTCCGGATGTCTATCTCTCTCACTCTCTCTGGTCTGGTGTGTGCGAAAACGTGTGCGCAATTTTTGCAATTTTCTAATAGCCGCTAAAGCGCTCAGGGGGGGGTTAGGTGCTGGTACAGGGGATTCTGGGATGTGTGGGGTTTCGGCTGTTATTAAAAAAACAAGTCAGGCTACATTTCACGTACGATGATGATGCTGGCTGGCTGGCTGGCTGCTGCTGCTTCGCTTCTTGCATGACTTTTTGTTTTTAAGTCGAGCGGAAGTGCTTTCGACGCCATTTTGTGGTCGGCCAGGCTGCAATTGAGTGCAGGCAGTAGTCCTTCACTCCACATCCTGCCACGCTCGCACTCTTCCCTATGCCCTGCCCTTCCTTTCTCTGGTACGTGCCTCACTGGACGGGCACGCACTTAAAGTTTCATTGAACAATCTATCGCGGACCCTAGGCCTAGTCCAAGTATCTCCCACCAGGCCCCATAGATTTCTTTTAAGCAGTGAAATGGAAAGTCGCTGTCCCTCTCTGCCACCCACAACCCGCCATTTGCATTTCTCGCAAGCTTTAGCTGGAATTTCTCTGTCGATCCCCGCATTCCGTTGGACAGGCCGATGGGCCCATTAAATCTGCTACAATTTACTTGTGATTGACATGTTTATAAGGGTCTTAACCCTTTTTTTCTTTTTGGGGTGGCATAACATTTGCTTTTGGTTCCACCCTCCCTCTCAATTTTTGATGGGAATGGGAAGTGAAGCCTGAAACGGTTCTGGTTTTATTTTTACTTTCTTTTTTCATCAGACACACACAAATAAATCTTTGATATTTGCCCTGCCAGAGGAGCATACTAAATATCCTTTTTTGCATTTTTAAGTTTATTTTCCTCTACCTCGTTACTCGTTCTTTGTTTGTTGTTGCAAAGAGAGAGAGAGAGAGGGAGAAAAGTGGACAAGAATTCCTGGTATTGGAATCCGATGGACAACACAATTAAAAGTTCCCACGTTGTGCGATACATGAATAAAACAACAAAGAGTTGATGGATTAAGTATACCGAAATAATCGAATGGTAGATACCCTAGAAAAACTGCAAGTTGCAAGAAAGAGAGAGAGTTGCGAGGGAGATAAAATTAAAGAATCAAAATCCATTGTAAACATAAAACTCTGTTAAAATATTTTTTACACATTCAACACAAAATCCAGCGATGAAAAGACAGAGCCAAACAGATAATGAGCGTAAGATAGAGGGGAGGGAAGTCGTTGGAGAGAGCCGCAACAGAATCTCCGATATCTCCATCAGCGAACAAAACGCATGTTTTGTTTTAATTTTGCGCACTTGGCGGAAAAGAAACTCCAGACGCCACAGCCCCAACCCCAACTCCAATTGCAGTTGAACCAACACATGCGAACAGGTTTTATGTGGCGGCCCATAAAAAAGGGCAAAACGTGCAAGTAATCAGTCGGATCAGCGGGTGAGGGGGCAGGCAGCAGCAGCAAAAACAAACGTACCCAATTGATATGCAGAGAAACAACAAAAAACAGCTGACACGCGACCAACTCGAACTGCAACCGGGCGCACCAGCTCGAACCCCCATGAACGAACCCAGCTCAGCTCGAGTTCGCACCCAACTCAAACCAAGTTCCGCTTAAGCTTTTCACGCAGCCGCAGATCCAACCAAAAACGCGGCTCAAACTTCAACTTGAACGCGTGAATTGTGCGGACGGTCGTGGCGGATGATTGCGAGCGGTTTTGCGGTTGCGGTGCGGTACGCTGGAGATACTCGTAATAAAAATTAATCCGTTTGGGAATTCGAAAGTAAGACAACAACAACCATAACTTGTCGGGCAAATCGAGTATCAAGAATCAAGAATCGATAAGGAAGAGTTCTTGGAGAACTTATTTGCGCGAAACTTTGAACATAATTCAAGTCAAATTACAAAATACAACCCAAGAATGAACTGCAAAACTCATTTGGAAACCAAAAAAAACATTTGTCAGCTGTTAAAACAAATTTTGTGGAGAAATGTTAATGGCTTTTTGTTGTTGCCGATGTTGCTGGTGTTGTTGCCGCTGCCAGTTGAACTTTTCAATTAATTTAACAGCCCGTTTGCCGTTGTTCATTTTCGCCTGCCCCGCATAGATCTTATCGTCATATCATAAAACAAAATAAAAGCTGCCCCGAAGAGTCAACGTCAAAGTCGAAGTCGCAGTCGCAGTCTGCCCGTCGTCATCTGAGGAGAGAGAGAGGAAAGAAAAAAAAGTTCTCAAGAAAGTTTACCAAATTGAAAGAAAACAAAACAGAAACGAAACTCAAACGGTTGATTGTTGTTGCTGCTGTTCTGTCTATTTTAGTCGCATTTTTACGTGCCGCAAGCAGCAGCAGCCGCAGCAGCAGCATCCACAGACGTAGAGGTAGACGCAGTTGGAGCCGAAAAGGTGTGCCCCGTTACCGCTTCAAAGTTAGCGCAAAGCGGAGCATTACCTGCCCTGCGGGGGTCGCAATTTTCAGCTACCCCTTTTTTCAATGTCCAAAATGTGGAGGGTACTCTAGGGGTATATAGTTTTAGGGTATAACAGAGAAAAGAAAAGGAATTTTTGGAAAATAATTCCTTTAGTTCCGCATGTGAAGCGTTGTTCCATGAGTGTCTACCATTTACTTGACTTATTTTTCTGCCCATCAACCCAACTTAAAGTAAACTTTCAATTAGCGAATCTTCCAAGCAACAAATGTGAATAATGGGTATCCCATGGCATAAATATTCTCCTCCATGAGCCATGAGCATTCTTACATGATTTCTGCTACTTCGTTTTGTGATTCTTTTTCTGCTGAATCCTCATATAGACATAACTCTTCCATTCCATATTTATTTGCAAGTAATTTTTAGACTGACATTTGAAACCAGAAAAATATGTTCATGCTCATGCCGGAAAGCTGCTTCTGCAAGGTATTCTTTTTTTTTTGCTCAGGCCTTTATGCCATTAATTGAAATTCAATGCGGAAGAGGCGTGGAGTGGGGGGACAAGTGGAAGAAGCTGCAGTAGCAGTGCCATGGCAGAGAGAGAGAGAGGAAAAAACCGCTACCTATCTACAGCTATGACAATTATTACAGCTTCCTCTCCTAAAAGCTACCCAAAGGAACAGGTTGCTGCTACGCTGCTGCTGCCACTTCATCAAACCCAACCCAACCCCAACCTCAAGTCCCATTCCAACACCATTCCATCGAACCAAAGCAGTGCAAATTGCTCAAACAGGCATAGAACATAAAAAAAGCAGAGCAAGTTTGTAAGAGGGAGAAAAGGAGATAAAGACGGTGCAAGCGACTGAGCGGGTCGGGTCGGGTCTGTGTCTGGCTCTGGCTCTGTAGCAGGAGAGACCACTTACGCATAACTGTAAGATAGACGGACTTTCAAGCAAACAGGATTTTTGTTGTTGCACTACAACGACCGTACACACATTCAAGTGAAAGAATTACTGCACTCTCATCAGCTCTCTCTCTCTCCTTCTCTCATTCTACTATGTATGTTATGTGTGTGAGTGTGTTGCGTTTGAGTTAATGCCGCGCCCCTTATCAGCCGGGAAATTAAGTTCAAACTGCCGCTGCTGCTGTTGACTGCCTGCCTTGGGTATGGCCGCTCTCTGGCATAGAAAAAAATTTAACTTCAATTTGTGTCAAAATACTCATGCGCTAAAATGGAATTTTTCCATTAGTCTCAGAGAGGCAGAAGGAGCTGGAGAGAGAGGAGACTGGACCAGCAAAAAATTAGCAATTGGGGCAACGAAGCAGGGAATACACTTTGGGGAAACGTTCAAACAAAAAAAAGCTTTAAAATATTTTTTATTTTTTTAATCAAATTGGAAGAGACAATGTCAAGTTTCAGATGTGATTCTATACAGAGAACGATAGGTTAACGACCGATAATATATTATTTCGATTCTGTATCAAATTTGCATTCATTTTCATCAAACCTGTAAATTTAGATTGGATTTTAGATGGAATGAATGGAAACAATATTAAATTTGCCGATTTGAATACAAAATTCCAAAGCTAACGATTGTCTATGTTCCCATACTGCTTCCAGAAATAATCTCCCTGTATCCTCAAGCTCCTCTTCATAACACAAATACCCTCTCTGTTAGGGCATGCAAACAACAAACTACTACAAAAACTCTTAAACTAACATGAAAATAGTGAAAATCATGCGGAGAGACTGGCTCTGGCTCTATCTTTGGCTTTGGCTTTGGCTCTGTGGCTCTGACTTCGGCTAAAGACAAACTTCAGGCAGCTGCAACTTGTCAAACGTGTTCCCCAACAAAGTCGCGCGGCATTTGAAAATGTGCAGCAGCATTGTGCAGCAGAGGCAACCTCACATAACTGTGACTTGTATTAATTTTTCAGCAAACAAAAAAACAAATCTTAAAATAGCATTTTCCCATACCGCACACGTATCGTAGCAATGAGACACAAAAGCTTCAATTAACAATTCAAGAGAAGCCGCCTCATCCCGACAATCCCGAACATCATCTGCATCATCATCAACATCAACCCGAAGAACGTAATCCCTTGAAGCCATGGAGGAGGACGTGTTGAATGCGCTGCAGACGCGCAGCGCCTATCTAACCGGCGGCTTCGATCGCCAGCAGCGCATCATATTCGTGGTGAATGCCTTCAACGATCTACAACTATGGAATCGTCGCTATCTACAGCTGACTCTTGACTATCTCAAGCGTTCGCTCAGGTGAGAATATCGGGAATTACAGAACAGAGTTACAGAAAGAACAGACCAAGTGGAAATGCCTTTTAAATGCCGACAACTAATTAGCATGTGGCCGAAATATGCAAATAACCCGCAGATGAAATACGTTTTCTTTTTTTTCTCCCAACTCTCTTTCATTACTTCTGGATGGGGAATGGGTCTATAGGCTTGACAATATCTGGTTATTTATATGCAAAGTGTCACTGAGAGTTAAGTAAATGTTTAAAAGCTGCTCTAAAGATGCTCGGCATTGTCTGTCATTCAGCGGAACTGTCTTCAAGGTTCGACTGCGGAATGCTCTTTTGTAAGATGTTTTGGGGCGAGGCTTGTTAAAATGTTATAGCAGGGGAATGTCTTTGATGATTGATTGAAAATTAATAGATTTGAATGCTGTAGATGGGTTTTCCACTAGAGACTATTTCTGAGATATATTTTCAAGAGATATTTTCTTGCCAAGTGTAAGTAAAAAGTCCCCAAAATCCATTCGAAGAATTAATCTTATTTCAATAAATATTTTGTGATCATAAATAAAAATTCTTCACTTACATTTTCCTGCTGCATATTTCGATTTCTATGTAATCTGTAAAGAGGGAAAGCAAAATGTAGTCAGCGGCAATCAATCAAAACAACAACTTCAAGTATCTCCCCTTGCTTCCCCTCCTCCCACCACCATTTAGGTAGGCCGTTTAGAGCAACGCCCCTCTTTTGTTTTCACCCGAAAAACAAGCAAATTGTTAAATTTTACGAGGCAGCAATCAAACAGAAAGAGACAGACAAACCCCTTATGAATTATGGATATTTTGATCGTGATCAATCAGCCACCAAACATTGGGTCAACAGAGATCTTTAGACTCTCTAATTAAAAGGAAACTCCACTGGCAGCCTAATGAAGCATTTAGCTGCGGACCTTCTCCATTGTAACCCCAATCTTCCATCCAATCTTTTTGGCTTTCAGCGCTTCGGTGTTGCAGAATGGAGTCAGCGTGATTGTGAATGCCCAGGAGAGCAGCAGTCGGATCAGTCGCCAGCAGGTGCGTCAGATCTACAACCTCTTTGGTGGCGACATCAGTGTGGATCTGTATCTAGTCAGGGCGGAGGGATTCTGGGAGAAGCATGTGGAGCCGTGCGCCAAATCGCAGACAAAGGGAGAGGTAAAATCAAACAACCAGAAAAACAAAGGTAAATACTTCAACTCCCTCTTCCATCCATAGCCTTTGGTCTTATCCAAATCACGTCTGACAAAATTCATTGATCCTCACAATCTGCCGGAGGAACTGGGCGGCACACTGCAATTCAACTACGATCTGTGGCTGCAACAGCGCAAGGCAAGTGCCACAAATTCAATTGGTGGTTTCAGTCAATTAAAATTCCTTTTCTCTATTTATGCACAGTCCATTGATGAATTCACCAAATCGCATGTCCAGACTCTGGCAGGCATGGAACAGCTGCTGACATTGCTGCGGGGCAACAAGGCGATGCGACCAACGGAAGCGGATGTGGAGCTGAAGAAGTGCGCCCAGTTGCATGCCCGAGTCCAAAGCAGCATCGAGGCAGCCATCGACATGGGTGAGTCGCGTTCTACGATTTGCAGTTTAATTTCAAATCAAATTTGGAATCCAATTTAGCATCGTGCTGTTACGAATCGAGTTTGTGGCTCAAGTCATTTGTTTTTAACAGCAACTTCAAGCAATTAACATAATTCAAAGTGCCCTCGAAACGTGTTGCTTGATGGAGAGGCGGGCACGGAGGTTGGTAAACAGAGACCCAGAGACAGAGACGAAGAGGTAGATAGGCTGAGACACATATGTGACAAGTAAATCATTGAATTTTGAGCGTATGTTTTCCATTAGAAATGTGCTCCACCACGTTTGGCAAACTCGTTATTCCCGTTTGTTTTAGCTTTTTGTTTGCTTGTGGGTTGGCTTTATTGACACTGAATAATTTTGAAATAATGCCTATAGATTTGAGGCCTACAAAAGGTCTTAATGGAGATAAAGAAACATGATCAATAATATTCAAAATGCGTCAAGGGACAGGCAGGGACAAATGGCAAACTTTTGAGATTTTTGGTTTCTTAGAAGTTATTTTTTGTGAGAATTTTTAGGGAATTATCCCAACAACTCTTGCGGTGAATGACTCTCCCTGAAATGGAATTTGCTTTGAAGGAAACATAAGAAGATTTATTTAAATGTTTCCAGGAAGTTCTGTTTCAGCAATTCTGAAGAAACGATCTCTAAATAAATTTATATTTTTGTCATTAGGCTGGACAATTTATTGGAAAAGTTCTTTTGAGTAAATGAAACCCCAGTTGTATTTCTGATGATATTTCTTTTTTTTTATTAAATTCTGAGACCTTAATCTTCAGGCATTTAAAAAAATACTAAAGTGTAGATAAAAAATGTTTTTATATGACTAAAAATAATTGAAAAAGTCGCTTCAAGCAGTGGCTGCCCTTGAAAATACACAATAAATTGATACTTTATTGCACAATTCCCAGGCAGGGAATTCCTTACTCCTTTATTGGCTTCTTTGAGTTATTTTTGTTTCGTGCTTTTTGCGGTTTGCGATCAGCTTTAAGTGTGTTGGACAGTGCTTCGACTTTAATTTCAACAACTTTAACCGAGTTCTTGGCAGCATTAATGAGGGGGATTCGTGCGAGTGCGTGGGTCTGTCTGGCAGAAAACAATGAAACAGAGACAGAGACAGAGACAGCGACAAAACGTGACCTTTCACTTAAAAGCCACAAAAGTCGTTGATGCGCAACGAAATGGCGGCACATGCCGCAATCCACTAGCAACAGAATGAAATGAGAGGTTTCACTTTTGTGTGTGAACAGCGATAGAAAGATTCCCCGGCAGAGATTCCTGCTCAATGGGAGCCCCAGAGTGCCACAAGATACATTTCTTTCTTTCTCTCTCTTTCGTCCCATTGTTTAGGTAACTCGATCTTGGCGCGCTTCAACGAGGTCTACGAGCCGCAGGCCACAGTGCCACAAGCGGCCGCACCTGTTGCACTCGAGACAACAGCCCCTGCCCCTGCACCTGCGCAGAGAGGTCCCCCGCTGCCGCCGGATCTGTGCTGCGAGCGGACCCGCATCGAGCTGCGGCTCAACGAAATTGAGAAGAAGCAAACGGCGATACGCACCGCATGGCTGGAGCTGCTGCGTTCGCTGCGGGAGGCACGCGAACGGGGCACACTCGAGGAGGGTGTGGCCTTTGTCACGAACTGGATCCTGCAGCAGGCGGAGCAGCTGCTGGGCCGCCAGCGCAGCGTGGGTGGGGATGTTCGGGTGTGCGAGAGCCTGCGCTCCGCCCACGATCAGCTGGAACTCGAGTGCCGCGACACCTACGGCTGCTACGCCGAGCTACTGTACAAAATCGAACGCTTTGCCGAGGATCGACAGGGCGAACAGTTGCAGGATCTGATCTCGCAACGCGACTTTATGCAGTTTGTGTGCCGCTCCTTTGCCAAGCGGCTGGAGCGAAGAAGGAACATTCTAATGACTGCCTTAAGGTACCACCGCCTGCTGGAACACTTTGAGGAGCTGCTGACCACCGGTAACCATGTGGTAGAGGTGGACAGCCGCTCCCTGGAGTGGCACGAAGCCGAGCAGCTGCTCCTGCAGCTGAAGACGAACCAAAACATGTTGGGTGAGTGGGATCCAACATCGAACATTACACAACGATCGAACATCAATCGAACTCCCACACAGGCAACATCGAACGCGAACTTGTGCGCGAGGGCGAGAAGCTCAGCGACATGTTGGCCATGCCGGTGAAAGACGCCCTGGGCCGTGACCTCCAGCTGGACTACAGCCCCGATATTGCCCGACTGCGACGCCAACTCGATGCCAGCCGCACCAGACGTCAGGTGTGCGGCCAGCGGCTGGCGCTGCAGCGGCTCACCTTGGAGCAGGTGACCCACATTCATGCGTACGAGGAGGACGCGCGGCGGGCCCGCGACTGGCTGGGCGAGCTCTATGCGGTCTTGTTGCGGTGTCACTCCCATGTCGGCTGCAACATACACGAGATCCAGCTGCAGAAGGACGAGCTGCAGGGGTTCGAGGAAACCGGTCGAGTGAGTTGTTGTTTTTTCTCTTTTTCTTTTTGGGCTTGCATTTGTTTTTGGGGAAAAGCTTTCAAGATAAATGAGAGCGAGAGAGAGATGGGCAGAGGGGCAAGTTTTGACCGAGACAGTGTGTCCGGTTGTGGTATTTGTATGTGGAACTGTGGATATGTAGATATACTGTATTATTTATGTATTTAAAATGTTTTAAATAATTTTTTGATTTAGTGTTTCCTAGTATTTTTAATAACTTTTCCATATTTTATTATTTTATTTATGTTAAACAAATTTTTTGTTATTTTAAACATGTTTTTATTTATTTCCCCAATCAGAGCATCTACAATTATGGCTGCCAACTGGTGGAGGCCTCCCAGACTTTGCGTCTCTGCTGCAAGCTGGAGCAAAGTGCGACTGAAACCGGAAACGAATGTGAGCCCCAGAACATCTCCCACCAGCTACAGCACACCTGGCACAGCCTACAGTCGATTGCCCAGGAGCAAATGACCCGCCTGCGCGTCTCGGCCGTGTTCCATCGCAGCGTCGAGGCCTACTACCGCCAGCTGAGAGAACTCCGCCCGCTGCTGACGAAGGAACTTTCCGCGCAGCTGCAGCAGCATCAGCGACAGCAGCACAATCGCAGCAGCAGTGGCATCAGCAGCGATGCCGAGGCCGAAACGGAGGCGGAACTGTCACCGGGCGGTCCCTCATTGGGGGTGCTGCCGCTGCCGCCGCGGCTGCAGCGACACCTGCTCGCCAGGGAGCAACTGCTCGTGGAGGTGGGGCGCATGGTGAGGCTGGGTAGGCTGCTTAAGAAGCGACTGAAGGAGCCGTTTGTCTTGGATGCCCTCACAGGCAAAAGGTGAGTGTTCCCAGGGTAACCCTCTACCCACTTTTTTCTCTCTCTCTCTCCACCCTGCAGCAGTTGCGTGAGTGCCTGGACAGTGGACTTTGAGCATGCCAACGGCTCATTCATTATGCTCAACGCATAAACCTCTGGCGGAAAAAGCGTTGTGCATATAAACTATGGAAAAAGGGAAAGATTTCCACTGAAATCCCAAGAGTTTGCAAGAGAAAACCAAACCACAGCAAAAACAACTAAAACTAAAAAGTAGTAAGGCATAAAATTAAAAGAAATGACAAATTGGGTATTAAATCAAGCAAAACAGAACGATTTCTGAATGCTCTAATAAATTTAAAACTGCAGATGATTCCAAAAACTTTCTTACCAAGGTATTTCAGAACTGCTTAAACAAAAGTAAAATAAGTTTCATCTGCCAAAGGTGCTCAAAACCACACAACAATTCCTAAGTAACCCACAAAAAAGTCACAAAGAAAAATCAAAAATAAATTTTTGACAGAATAAAACAAATGTCAAGCGACGCACCACCGCCAACAAATAAGTAAAGCTACAACAACCACTAAAAATATATATGCATAGAGACTAAAAGATCTATCAGAACTAAATGGGAAACCCAAAAGAGAGATCCCAGCAATAGTCTATTTAAGTGCGTGGTCCAGTGCGGTTCAGCGTTCGCTTTTCTTCGGAGATCTATGCGAGGCGGGAAAAAAACGTTGTGAAGGCGCGCGAGCAACTGTCAGGTTGTCAAATTAATGAAACACTCAGCCACACAGAATACTAGAAAGTATATATATATTATATATATAAACGGGAAGAATATTTAGAGGATTTTGCCGGCTGGAGAAGACACGCCACGAAGTGGGTCAAAAGTGAGGAAAGTGATAATTTTAGAAGTGTCTTCATGGGTAGCTCTCGCTCTCTCTCTATCTCCCATGCTAATCCTGGCAAAGTGAATAATTAGAGACTACAATTATCAGTTAAACAGAGAGAGAGAGAGACACATCATCCCCTTGTGCCACCGCCCTGGCCTCGAGCCAAACGCGTGTTCCCGTGCATTACGTCAAACTAATTGTACCGCCCAGCCAGAGGCGCCACAGCAGCCCGGACACAACGAACCCGAAACCCCGAATATGTTTGCCCGATTTCGTAATTTGTTTGCCAAATCAAAGGGCGATGGGGAAGAGGAGGAGGAGGCAGTAGTCCCCACTCGACCGGAAGTGCCCAGCATTGTGGTAGAAGAAGTGCCCGATGTGCTAGAGCAGCCAGAAAGTGAGACCCAAACGGAAACTGAAATCCCCGCTGCCGCTCCTTTGGCCAGCGAAGAGGAGGATCTTGCCAATGGGGATGCCCTTAGCGGCTCCAGCCAGGAGCTCAGCAAACTCCTCGAAGCCATCAATGCGGCCAGCAAGCTCCCGGAGCTGAGCAGCGAAGATGCCGCAGAGGATGATGAGGATGAAGACGATGAGACGGCCAGCACTTCGAGTGTCAAGACAAAGATAGCCAAAGCCTCCATCGAACGTGACATAATCTTTGAGGAATCCGAAGAGGAGTCGGAGAGGGAGGAGGAACACGATGACCAGGGGCAACCCCTCAAGAGTCTGGACAAGATCAAAGCGCTCATACGAAATGACAGCGAAACGTATCCCCAGAGCGACTACACGGACGACAACGACAACGAAACGGAGGAGCCAACGCCCTCGCACTCGCGCACTGCCTCATTGGATTCGGGAGCGGCAGCAGCAGCAGCATCCCCAGATAATCAACGTCTCTCTGGTGATTTCAGTGTCGTGGCCGATGAACTACCGCTGGACAGCAGCCCCAGTCCCCTACTCCACGACAGTGGACGCACCAGCAGCGCCAGTGGCAGCGAAGTCACCGGGGAATCCGCACCAGCAGCCACTTTGAGGATTGTGCCCACGGGAAGCAATGAGCTGGCCTGTGCTGCCATCTCCCACAAGCTGGGAGCCATAGCCGAGGTGGCCGAGTCCCTGGATGCCGTCATACGGGATGTACAACAGCAGGAGCAGGGAGGTGGCGGTGGCCCTGACATGTCCACTACGAATGGCGGCAGTGGCGTTCACAAAAAGTTGGGCAGCATTGAGGTAAGGGAAAAGGGTTTTCCAATAAGCGAAAAATTAATCTAATTTGCCTTTGTAGGACTGGCAATCGCGCTCTACGGAGGATGAATCCTTTGCCACTGCCTCCGAGGGCAACTTTACACCCAACTCCCATTCATCCTCCTTCCAAACGGCCTCCTACATTGGCTCCGCCAAGAACTCCTTCGATGAGGCGGACGAGTCCACGCTGAGCACCTTTGAGATACCGGAATTGCCGCCATCGCCCGTGAACATGTCCTTTGACAGCTCCGAGCTGAGTTATTTCTCTGCCCGGCAGCAGCAGACGCTCAAGAGCGAGGATCAGGATAGTGTGGCGGATGTGGCAGAGTTGCATAGTCAGAGTGTCACCCCGACGCCGGATGAGGATCAGCAGCAGCAGCAGCAGCAGCAGCAGCAGCAGGAGTATCTGCTGCCACTGCCCCTGCCACAAGCCATCGAATCGGATAGCGAAATGGAAGGCTTTAGCCTGGCCACAGGCATCACCACAGAGCTGGGTCCACGCTCATCCACTGCCCACACACCGGAGGTGAGTGCCACGAGGTGTGCATCCTCATCTGCTGCTGCATCTGCATCTGCCGCTTTTGATCCAGATTCCACTAACCCCAACGCACCGAAACCGCCAGCCTCCTGGCGGCGCAGTAAATACTACGAGAATATAACAAAACAAACGATCAAGGGATTCCTCTAGTACCCACAGATATCCATCTGTCTGTCTGTCCCACCAATTAATACGCACCATTTGCTGTCCCGAAAAAAGCTTGCCATTAATTACCACAAATATTAGTTGGCGTCTCTTATTTTTCATGATTTTTTCCCTCTCTCTAAATGTATTTTTGCTCATGAGCTCAAATGCGTTTTTTTCCTTTTCGTTTTGTTTGTTTTGCATGAGATTTTTGCTTTTGTTTCTTGTGTTTATTTATGATTTTAGTTGAATTTTAGTTTAAGGCTTTGGCAAAATTAGAGAATTCCAAAATTTATCGAAAAATTAAACGAAAATTATTTATAATTAAATGCTGGATGAAAAATTCACTACAAGAAGTCAACATTTTTGCCATTATTTCCATAAATTATTAATAAACGAAACCACATATATTTATTTATAGTTCTCTTTCCCATTTAGTCACAACAAATATAGTGCAATTCAAATGAATATTTGACGAATGTTTTACCCCACAACAAAAAAATAAAACTAATCAATTGGAATGTTTGTCAATAATACTATTTCTGGCCTCAAATTTCAGCTAAAATTTAAGGTTTTTAATACCATGTTTTGTCAAGTAAGTAAACGGGGAAATATTTATTTGGCTGAATATTTTGGTTAATTTTTTCCTCAATTATTTTTAGTTTAAAAAAACAAAAAGTTTATATTGCATACTTGTAGGCTGTTGTTCTCGGCAACAAACTGATCTCTTCATTAACCCTTTGCCGCTCTCTGGTATTATTTTTAACCCCACATCATTAGAGAACTTTTGTCGAAGTGGGTGGCCCGCTTCATCGCTCTTTAAGCATTTAAGGCGCTTCCTGGGGTCTGTCCCTCAAGTGATTTCAATTATGTGAAATATGAGCTGTCAGGAGGGGTGGCCGGCCACTGCTGTCAGAAGGGGTTACGTATCGAAAACATTTCAAAAGGGAAAGGGGATTCTATTCTGGATGGGGGAACCAGGCGCTTTGTGGCACTGTGACTGCCTCAAGTGCCTCATTAATTTCAATTAAAAAGAAATAAATAAAATTATCAAGTATAAATGTTTGTTGTGTGTTGGTTGAGTGTGAAAGAAATCTACTTAAGCAAAAGAAACGACCAGAAATCCTCTTCAGAGCGCAATCATCTACAAAAAGTGAAAGATCTTTGAGTATTTTTGAGATAATTTTCACACAATTTGATCAGATTTCGTGAGGAGAAAGAGAGAATGATTCCATAAGATAATGAGGCTGCTGGCGAAAGACTCAATGATTGCTGCAGCTGTGCCACATGCAATGTGTGGCACGAACGGAACGAGCTGCAAGCTAAAGTCCAGCTTCACCAAACGCATTTTGAGATGCTCTCAAGTAGCGGAAAATACTTCAATAAAGTGGGATAGAGTGGGGCCAAATCATAGGGAGAGAGTGGCAGCGAGGGGCTGCCTGAATTTCTCAGAATGCGGGCGGTCGGTTGGTCCGTCATTTCAGGGCCGTTCCCGCGCACCCTTTCCCCTGCCTCCCCTTCTATCGTATATTATGACGCGATGCAGTCAGGTTGTTGCGTTGCCTCGCATCTCTCGCATCTTTTCTCTTCTTTTCTGTTTTGCCATATTATTAAAGTACCCAAAGCGGCACTTGAGCAGCATGTAGTTGTTGCTACCCTCTGCTTGTAAGGGTATATAAGTTGGGTGCAAAGAAAGATCCTCCGCCCACCATTGCTAAAGTTCCTGCAACAAAAGCAGCAATCGCCCCTCTACAGGGCACCAAAAGTACGACTCTCTCTGTACGTACTTGTGCTCCCTCTCTGCACCTTTTGTGTTGGTATTGTAATTGCTGAAAAGCCGGGCGCAGGGCATTAAAAATTGAAATCATGAATTAACGACGCACCAAATGCCAAGAGCACTTGTTTATTTATGTCGCCTGCCCCTCTCCCGATCTCTTACGCTCTCCCTCTCTCTCTCTCTCTCGCTCTCTGGCATTCTGGCATTCCGAGCCGGCTTTTTTCCCATAAACTGAGCTTAGCGAGCGCCAAGAGAGCAAGCAACAGAGAGAGAGAGAGAGAGAGAGCAACGCAAAGGAAAAATATTGCAACTGAGCGAATCGGTTATAATTCCCATCTGTTTGCTGTTGCTGCTGCGGTGCTGCTCTCCATGTGCTTCTGGCGCTCAGATCCACCGTTGTGGCGCTCTCGCCTGCGATCAGGCCCCACTGCCGCCTGCCGCCTGCCGCTTGTCGCTGCCACTGGGTGCCACTGCTGGCTGACTGCAAAGACTTGGTCAGTCTTGGTCCGAAGTTTGCGTCGTACGGTTGCTCGGCAGGCGGCACGCGCGCGTTTTGTTACTCTTCTTCACTCCCGATGTGATCACATCATTTCCACACTTTGCGAATATAAAAACAAATCTATGTAAATTAAATTAAAGGAAATAAGCAACCCAACAAAAACAAAACTACAAAACTACACTAAAACACTCTTAATAAGCCATAATTTACCCAAGAATATATTGTAAATTGCCATTCAAAAATTCTTGGCGCTAGTTTTTTTGTGTCGTCTCGAAAGTCACAAATTTTGTTCTAAATTTATTGTTGTTGCTGTCAGAAATCTAGTTGATGGACGACCCTCAAAGCGTAAAATCGTCTATGCCCAAACAAATAGTATGCGCAAAATAGAAATGTTGACATAGAAATGCGAAAAAGCGAAAAAGCGAAATGTATTTCGAAACATTATTAAAGAAAATACATTTGCAAAATTGTTGAAAAGCCAAACAAATGTATGCTTGCCGCACAGAGACGTGATTTTGAGTCATTAGCTGATTTTGTAGATGGAAATGATTTGCTCTCAGGTTCCCTTCAAAAGTTTCATGCAACAAATTGCAGTGAGTCATGGGCAGTGAAAGATCTGAAAGTTGTGTGTTTTCTGGTGCCCAAAAGTTCAAAGATTCTTACCCCAAACTGAATCATGTATCTAAACGCTCCATAAAATGTTTCCTTTTGGACAAAAACACAGGCATAACGCCAACCAAATTGTTAGTGTAAACGTTTCAAAGTTCTCTAGCAACCAAAAACAAAAATATTTATTTATAGAATTGAGGAAAAGTACAATTAAAATAGTTTACATTACGCCCAGCGGCCAGAGCCAGGCGGCTATTAAAAATTGAGAGAAAACCAAAAAAAAAAATTACCTAATCGAGGCAGCAACAGCAGCAGCAGCAGCAGCAGCAGCTGGCTGCAGCCACAGGGCACAGGCATCCCCTCCATGGCGTATACGTAATTTAGTCAAAAATAATATAAACCATATCTATCCAAAAGGAACAATCGGTGACGACTATGATGGTTGATGTGCTGCCAATGCAAATTGGCACATCCATCAATGCAGAATGTATCTTTTTTGACGCACATCCACATCCGTGTGCGAATATATCTCTCGAGGAATCAATCGTATCTAGGCTAGAACAACAGCAAATTACTCAATAGTTTTACGTGTTTAAAAATAAGCACAAATCGAGCATTGTCATCAATGGGAGAGGGAGAGAGAGCACGAGCACTTTTGTGTTCTTTTGTGCACACGCATCAAAGGCAATTATTCTCAGGCTCAGGCTCAATATGCAAAGATCTCTCGCCATATAGTGGATCGTAGGTATATATAGCAATTGTTGTGCTGCCTGTACAATAATAAACAGACACAACGAGAGATCTTCCCAGAGAGAGAGCAGAGCAGAGCATGAAGTCATAGTCGTGCCGATTCGCAATTTTGCTTAAAATTTGATGCGAGTACCGGATCTGTAGAGCCCCATAGTCAGACGATCGCCGGCGTTGATAGCGCTCGCAACGAAAGAGCAAAACACAAATCGAACAGAACAATAAAAGGAACTACAACTAATATATGTATAATATCTACTAGCTATAACTCGAACGACAAGCAAATCCGCGAACGAAAACCCCATAACTAACCCACCAAAACAAAAAACAAAATACCCGAACAAAACCCCAGAAAACAAAACGAAACGCGTCTCCCTCAATCTAACTCGCTCGTGTCTTTCGTGTTCAGTGTAGAGTTCAAAATGTACAACAAGCTAAAACAATAAAAAATAAACTGAAGAGAGAGAGAGAGCGAATCGAAACAAAAAAAAATAAATAAAAGAAAGAAGCAACCAACCTAAAACGAGAAAGATTATAAACGCCCACACACAAAATACTACACGTAGCCGCTAAGCCGACAACAAGAGGAGTTCCGAGTCGAGGAGTCCCGCGTTCCCAGCCATACCGCACTCAATCCCAGCCCAGACGAAGACCCCAACAAGAGTAAGCACCAACAGCACCACCCGCTCTCGCTCTTGCTTCCATCACTAAAAACAGTTAGCCGCCATGGAACGCCGCCAAACCCTAGACTCATCGATGTCTTCGCTCTATTCGGCTGCCTCCTCGAGTCGCCAGATCCAGTCGCAGTCGCAGTCACATCTACAGCAACAGCCACAGCTCCAGTCACAGCTATCACAGCAGTCACAGCAGTCCCATCCGTCCCCGTCGCAGCTAGACGCCTTCAATTATTCAGCAACAATGTCATCATCATCGCCAACTCCAAGCCAGGCCCTGTCCACAGGCACAACCACTGGCACCGCCACCGCCACCGCTTCTGCCGCCCCCTCGCTGCGTGCCACAACCATCGGCACGGTTGTCGTCCGCTGTGGACCCATACAGCTGGTGATAGCGCTCCTACAAGTGAGTTGTACTTACAAAAACAAACAGACACACACACACACACACTAGAGAAAAGGGGACCAAGAAATGGGGAATATATGTGGAGATACATATATCTAGATATGGGAGAGGTGTTTGCGGGCCAACGGCAACAGATACGAGATAGAGAGAAAGCTCTTAAAGTGTCTCTGTGCGAAAGGAGATCTGGGAGGACATCTACATAGATTTGGGGCTACCTTTCCCTTGTGGAAAATTCATAGATGCAGCATAAATTCAGAGCCTAGATGAACTATTGACTGGCAGATATTGCTACGATTTGGTATTCAGATAAATAATAAAAGTCTCAAATGGTGAGGGAGTTGACATTTCAAAGAGTAATTGCTGTAACTGTAGGGATAGAAGGTAAAGTTTTTATAGTTCAGATAATGTAAGGAAAATTTTCCAAAAAAGAATTTAATATAATAAAGAAAAATTATCAAGAGAAAAGGTCTTTCGCATCTTTGATACAATTCCATCCAAAAAACTCAGAAAAAATATGTATATTCCCAGCTAAAAATACACGCTCTAGTGCAAAAATATATGCATTATTATGTGCTCCCCACAAAAGTGCAACAATTTTCCATAAAATCAATGAAAAACAAATAGAAAATGCAACCCAGAAACATCCATTAGCTGTCCATGCCTATCAGCATCGTCCAACTATCAATCAATTATCTTATCAAAAACATAATTTCTCAATGATAACTAAAAACCAAACAGATGTCAAATCAGAGCAGCACAATCATTCAATCATTTAATTGAAAAATATATATAATAATTACGAGCTGGGCTGTTATTTGCCATTAGTCTGTGGAATGCTCTACATAACCCCCCGCACGACCAGCCAGCCTGCCTGCCGTAAGACAAACATTTGACTTTAACACTGAAAAATTCATGGGTGTCTAATGCCCAAAACTGGTTTACAGTTCGATGATTGTTTAAACCGGCTTCGCAGCAGTCAGGCCCAGGCAGCACAATTTCCGCGCCAATTAGCGACCCCAAACGACGACGAGAACAACGAAAGCAAAAGTTGTGGATTTTGGATGCCAGTTATAAATATTTGAAAAACAACATTAAAAAGGTTCAAGGTTGTCTGACATCACACAGAACACACAGCCCCAGAGAATGGAGCCAAAAAAGAGAGGCAGAGAGAGACTAAAACATAGTAAACGTGACAAAAAGAAATGTATCTCTGCCACAAGACACGAAAGATACTTTCAACAATTAGGCGCAGCTGCTACCTGTCTGGAGGCATCCTCCAAAACCACAACTCAGAGATGAAAATTTGTTTTTGTTTTTTGTGTCTCGAACTTGAAATTGAGAAACATTCAGAGCTGATGTAGAGAGAGAGAGAGGAGAAGAAGCGCTACAAGTTGCATGCCCTCCTGCACGTAACATAAAAACAACAACCAACACTCGACTCCATTCCACTCCTCCATTCAATAATTATTGGCAGCATGGGCTTCGTTTGGTTATTTTTTTTTTTTGAGATATCCAACTCTGCAGCGCCCTCTCTCTCACGCCTTCTTTTCTTTCTTTTCTGTTCATTCAAGCAGCGTTGGCCATTGAAATTTCTGTGTGCTCTGCACACTTTGTGCCACTTTTTTTCGCCACACAGAATCTACTATATGAGCATAATGCCTTGGCGCGTCTGCCCCATGCGCGAGTGGTGCCCGAGAGTGCGCTCCATGTGTTAAACATTTCGATTTGATTTACAATTTATTTCAGCTACTTTTTGTAGTCATGGGTATTTGGCATGGAGCAAGGGTATGATGGGTTCCAAGAGAGGCTTATGTGGAACAAAAGAAGTTGCTGTTTTGGCGCCCAAAAGGTAGTTGCAGGAGCTTCAACATTTGAGGAATCGAGCGATGGAATTTTATGGAATTTAAAGGCGAAAGACAAGTGAATTGATATCTACTAATATTTCCCATTAACAGGGTATTCTCTAGTCGCAACATCTGCAACCGCTCCCTGTCCTTTGTTGTTGTTTTCTAACGCGTCTGCAAATTATGCAAAAACATTTTGTTTCCATTCTTTCAACACGTTTTTTCGACCATTTCCATGAAAATTTAAATTCAGCGACCCCAAAAAATGTAAATTTAGATCAAATTCTAAACAGGCAACATTTTTCATTGATATGTCGGCGCACAGCAACAAAATAAACATTATTCTTACCTGTTGGATGTGTTATTCGTGTCCCAAAACAAGCAAAAACAAGAGTCACTGAGCCATAGAGGCGAGGGACACACAGATCTGTATAAATTGGGGGGAACATCAGGCGCTCTCTCAGGTAAACAAATTAGCAGCGGAGCAGGGCCGAAAAAAAAACCAAAATTGAACAAAAATTAAAACTGAAAAAAGAAACAACAAAAGCGCTGGAAAAATAAATACACAATATTCCTCCACACAAACAGATGTACAACAAAAACAACAAAAAGTAACAAAAACCAAGAAAAAATAAAAGCACAAATGAAATACAAAGAAACATATGAGAAAAAGAATATATATTTCGATGAGCTCAGTTTCTGTTATTGTTATAAATTCCATGTGGGAGGCGGCGGTTCCTCCAGTGGGGCTGCTACCGGATGCGCTTGCTCGTTGAAAATTTATGTTGCCGCTGCATAAGATTACAGAAGGAACTACTCCCCATCCGAAACCCCTCTGAAAACTCCTTGTGTGTTTGTGCTTGAAACTATGCAAATATGTCAAAAGTTTCCTTTCATTATGGGACGGGGTGGAGGGGCTTGAGAATAAAAACAAACTTTCGGCTTGGTTTTCTTTGTTCAACTGCTAGACTAAAGTTGCGATATTACTCGTAAGATTTGGAATGTTAAGTGGTGTGTCGGAGAGTCTTTCAAAAAGTTTTGATCATGCTGTGGTCCGGCAGATATTTATGAGCGCACTTTGTGGTGAATATTTCAGTGGGGAACTTGGTCTTGAAATGTGAACTAAAAGCTAAAAATTCTATAATAGTTGATGGAGATATTGAAAACTGACAGCGGAATCCCTACCCTCTCTAGTCTCAGACATTCTTCATGCCATAGTGAAAGCTCACACACACGATTTCCAATTGAGTGATGGCTGGTTGAGGGTGTAGCCGGCCGTTCCGCCAAAGTAGCTTTCACTGTACGCTGCTGCCTCACAAATTCTACACAATATGTTGCACGATAATTGAGATGTTTATAGATAATTGCAGATGTGTGGCAAGATCTCATTGAAGCATACAAAGAATGAAAAATACTACCACTCCGTCCAACCATCCATTCCGCCCATTCCTCTTCATTCCTCAATGAATTATCTAGCCAGCAAAATGTTTTACTAGAAACTTTACTGCCTTGAGCAACATAAAAAGAACCCCACCCAAATCCACATTAAATCCCTTAACGAACATGTTGACATGATTTACATAATGCTCCTCCCTTTCTTGCCCCCTTTCTTTGATTAACAAAAATCAGAGACGCAAAAAACTGACTCGATTACAATGTTTGTTGATGCAACATCGAAAATATTTACAAGTGTTTCTTGCAAGAGACGGCGCAAATGGCCTGGCCTGGTTACAAAATTTGTTTCGTTTTATGGTTCCGCCTAATGCTGGCCAAAATGGACACAAACAATTTAACTCGCAAAGCCAATTAAATGGAGAAAAAACCTAAGAAGCAAAAAACATCAAAGGCCTGGAGAAGATTTACATAAATGCTCTCCTCTAAATAAATAGTTTTTTCCCTGCGTGTGCCACGGCATGAGTTTTCCAGCACCGTCCCGCCTCACAGCCGAAAAAAACTTTAATTGAATCAAATGCGCGCAACTAATTTGACTCTTTGGTGGAGGCAGGAGTGAAGGCAGGAATTGGGGCGCAACAGACGACCTGCTTTTCGGGCGGACGATCTGCTCTGATTTGCAATCGAAGAAAAGCCAGGCATAGCCGATGGAAAACTCTAATTGAATTTATGGCATTTTCGCATTTGTAAAAGTCGCACACAGCTTTTCACTCATAAATTGCTTAGACATATGAGCGTGTACTTATGCACGGCACTGTCCGTCCGTCAGTCTGTCTGTCTGTCTGTCTCTTTTTGTAAGAGTTATGTGCTTTGGCTTTGGGCCTGGCGTGGGTGAAACGGCTGCAGCTGCGCAGTGCCAAATGAAAGAGAGGCAAGGCGGCAAGGCAGGGAGAGAGAGAGAGCTGAGAAAGCCGTGCGGCGGCTAAAAGAAATGTTTACGACGCCTGGCAGGCATATAAATTTACGCATGGAAAAGCTTGCGCATTCCTCTCACAAAATCCAAGCACACAGGCACACAGGCACAGTCACACAGTGCCGCCAAGACGTGTTCGCATGGGGCAGAGGGGCAGGCAGGACACTCCACGTCACAGGGTTGCAATCAAGTCACTGCTTTTTGTGATTTGTCACTGTGATTTATGGCCTTTTTGGTTGTGAGAAGTTTATGGTGCGGCTGCGTGTCTTGGAATTTTCCCTGAAACATAAATGCACCCACCGGAAACCTTCACAGTGAATTACAGTTAAGAGAATGTGGGAAAGCAGTGATTTTTAAGGAAGGATAGTTAACACTAATTGATCTGGAAATACTACGCTGGAACTCCTACGATTAAATATAACCATTACCATTTGGCAGCATCAAGTTTAGGTTTTTTCTACGTAAATATTTCAAAATATTGAAGACCTTCTTCCATTACAATTCTTTAATTTTCCACAAAATAATTCCATTCCACATTCAAATACTTTTAAAATCGCAAATCCTTCACCGAAAATCGTTTAAAATCCAACCAGAGCGTACTCAAATTCCAGGCCCAAAAATATATATAAAATTCCATCTCAATTTCTGCAACTTGATACCATCCTCTGAGCAAACTGAGGAGCACCCAAACCATCTCTCAGTCACTGTTTATGCCAATGTAAAACACATCCAACATCCTCTCTTGATGTCGTGTCATCCGTGAATGGGGCTGTAAATCTTATCAGTAATTGAAAAATTCCATCCCTAACCGTCGCACCAAGAGCTGGAGGAGCTGCAGCTGAAGTTGGTGCTGGCCGATGGTGCCAGTGGGGAATGTCAACATTTTCCAAGCGCTAAAAAATAATGTATTCTATGCGCAGACGCAGTCGTAGCTTGGCTGGATTGGGGATCCCTGATCGGATTGGGGAAAGACCATCTTAAGCCTTGGCTTGGGGCATTCATATGTGCTGTCTGCTGTCTCTATATCGGTAGTGGTTTTAATGCACAGCTGCTACTTAGCGAAAAACTGACAAAACAGTTTGGCACGCACTGATTGATAAGCAAACGGGAAACGGGTCGAAGGAGGAGGTGGATCTGCCTCCAGTGGGGCATAAATTTCGCCACAGCCAGCTGCTGTAATTACCGCGCACATGCGAAGGCGAAGGCGCAGGCGCAGCAGCAGCAGCAGCATATCTGCAGATGGAAGAGGCACAAGATACAAAGCACAAGGCACACGGCACACGGCACTCCGCACAAGACACAAGGCGGTGGGGCACGTTTTTTTTTTTTGCAGAGTTAGAGACGCGAAATATATTGCATGTTTACATGAAAACTGATATTCGCCGATAAACGTTCAATGAAAGTCGCGCTGCGCTCTCTGTGTGCAGCGCCAGAAACGACTCCACCTCCTACTGCTAGTCGTGGCCAGCAATTTGTAAAAACAATTATAGAAATTATCTCTTTAGTTTTTGTTTTGCGAATTAAATTGAAATTTAAATTGCATCGCCCATAATCGCGAGAGTATCTGCTTATTTTTTTGTGGCCTGGGAAAGTGCGACCTCCAAAAAGACCCAATAAACCCGAACCGAACCTCGGAGTGAAATTTGTTGTACCACGTTTATTACGATATATATTTATAGAACTCAAAAGTCTGACATCACTCGTTAAAGCACACAAATGCCAGGCCATGCGATGCGTCGCGAATGTGATGGATGATGACGCGCCGATGATGATGATCTGAGAATGAAGCGAAAAGGCCAGCACTAACCTTTTGTTAATAGAACATCAACAGCAACAGCAGAAGCACAGCACACTACATTTATTTGTTGCTTTTTGTGGTGCTTTGTTTTATGACAAAATCAAGTCGGGGCGGGCTTTAATGGAACGCGCGTCAGAGCGTGAGGAGCAGCAGTGCGGGTACAGGGGTAAAAGTAAATACTCGAAATACATTTGCATATTCTCTGCTCGTATTTGTACAATATATTAATGCTGCCACGATGAGTATTTGCTCTGTGTATTGGTGGAGCACACACACAGACGACACATGCAAATGTTTATGTTAATACGAAATTTTATTAGTTTTTGGCCTGATATTTGTAGAAACTTTTTATGTGCAGACATTTCTCTCTATAAACAGACAAACATTTGATTTATGTCACTTTAATGAGCCATGTATTCAATCATGTATTCAATTAGATTTTACCTTTAATCGAGAGCATAAAAACGGTTCGCTCTTGCCACCAAAAAAGAGACAGAGAGACACTCATTTGCGTGTGTGTTCAGTTGTTCAGTTGTTCATTTATTTTTTGATGAACACTCTTTCATTTGCACACAAAAATGTATGCAAATATTGGGTCAAGGTTCGGTCGTTGAACTCTAAACTCTGAATTGGAAATTAATTACAAATTTATTTCACTTTTGCTCTTAAAGAGCGATTTGATTTGTATCTGCAAAATGCTTAAATGCGATTTTGGATAGCGTAAAAGCCACTAAAAGTCTCATTACATTGTGCCACCGGTGATAACCTCATTTACGTAGAAATAAATGTAGCAATAATTCAACAAGTAATTCCTTGCAGAGCCTGAGCAACAGCCACTTAGCCTCTGCATAAAAAATGCTCCATTGCAATAATGAAACTAAAAAATACAAAGTTCCACCAAAAGATAAGACAAAATATATGCAGAAAACATTTCCGAAAGCTGTAAATGGCTTGAAAAATATTAAGATGCATCTCAAATCCATAATTAAGTAGTTTTTCCCACACAAACAGAAGAAGAATCCCGCTACACAGACACAATTTTCCTTTGCCTCTAGATCCGGCGCATAAATCCTGAAAACTCAAGCCAACGCCTTCGCATAAATTGCAATTCCCCAATTAAATCAACGATCGGATCGGGCGGCCACTCACGGATTACGTGTGGCCTGGACGGCCAATGGTTTGGGGGGGTCGAACGGGCTGGCAGGCAGGGCAGGGCAGGGCAGGTTCGTAATGAAAGAGCGGCGGTGGCGGCATTGTGGGGCATTTGCGGCGCTCCATAAAAATGCGCAATGATTTCATACAAAGCGATAAGAACGAGGCTGAGCAGAGAGGGAGTGCGAAAGAGGGGCAGTGGCAGAAAGAAGGTAATTTCATATCGAAATCGTGTTCTATCCGCTGCCACAAAGTATTAATTTAAAAGCCAAAAACGTGTTTGGAGTTAAGCGCCTCTGAAAGTGGACGACAGACCTTCTGCCTCTGCCTCTGCCTCCATCTGCCCGCCCCGCTTGATCTTGTTCCCCGCTTGAACTTATTCCCCGCCCGATTGAGTGAAGTTTGTTGTTAGAGACCCGCTGCTGTGGCTGTGGGGCATTATATCATCGACGAAAGTCTCTGCTACTTCCGCCTCATACTTTGAGAATTGCACAAGTGCCCGCCTGTATGTCTTCCCTCAAAATGTCTTCGAAAATGCAGTCTTAACGGCACGGTGCGTGCACACTTGAAATATGATTCAAATTCAGATTCAGCGGGGCATGGGGCACGGTTCAGGCGCCTGCCTTGCCATATGCATTATGCTTTACGAGTAATGCATAAAAGTAGATGCATAAAGACGTCTCGTTATGGCCAGGCGGTTTACTGTACGTCGTGATGTCATACCATTTATGGTTCATATTTCAGTTAGACGTTTGTACCCCGCTGACGTCTCTCCTTGTACCCAACATTTTAGCTTTAATTTATTCAAAGTTTATAAGAAAATTATCATTTTGCATATTGAAAACTCACTCACGTAGCATTGAGCATTGAGTCAGTGACTTCAGCGACAGAATGATCTATGATCTGATTGGCACAACATTTATTTAATCGTTTGACTATTAAGTTGTTGATTGATTGTCGCTCATTTAGATCATTAAAACCAATGGCAGACCCTTGGGACAGAGAAACACAAAGTCTCTTAAATTGTTCATCAATTTCGGTGGGGGAAAAAACTATAAAAATGTTCACCCACGCAAGCGGCTTTCACTGGCTGGAAAATGCCAAAAACTGGAAGCCGAGACAGCAAAGTTCTGTATCTTTTGCTGCTGGCTGCTGGCTGCTTTCTGCTGTGGCATGTGGCACTTTCCAGTGCTTTGTGTGCTCTGTTCTGGTCTCGGTTCTGTGTGCCATGTATCGACACATGCTCATCCCAACAGGAAAAACCTAACGGATGCCATTACCATAAGCAGCCAATGTTGACCTTCATTGCAATCAAACAGAACACAAGACGAGAGAGAGAGAGATACTGCCACTGCCACGAGTGTTGGTGGTTCCTGACCAAAATTAGAAGCTGCTGTGCAACATTGTCGTTTATGCTCTTAAGCAGGTTTTTGGCGACAAGTTTTCATGAATGAGAAATGCAGAGACACACACATGAGCGCTGCTGCTGGCTGGGAGCACAGGAACAGAGTCCCAGAACGTGACTCAAAAACAGAGCGAACAGAAAATTCCTTGAGCAGAAACTAGTGGGAGCAAAACTCGGCTAAAACTCACTGAAAACTCACTTACATCTCGCAGCTTTCTTCATCATTTCATCATCTTCTACAACTCTTTGCAGAGTCCCGAAAAGATCTACATAAAAGTTGTCGAGCTAGAGCCAAAGATCACATCACTGGGCGACAATCTCGAGGAGTCTATGCGCATGCAACGAGAGCATGATGAAACGCTCCGAAATCTACAGGTAAGCCGCAGATAAGCCATCAAGAATCCCCCATTTAAAACCTCCTCTTTAGAGCCTGCCTGGACCCATGGATGAGTTTGTGCAGAAGGCGGACAAATTGCTGGCCAGCAAAAGGATCAGCTCGGAGCTAGTCAATGCCATGGCCGACACATTGAACATCATTTGGCAGGACATATTGAACCTGCTGCAGGATCGGCAACACATTCTACTGCTGTGCACACAGTTCCATGACAAAATGACACAATGCTTCCGGCGCATGGATCAGCTAGAGATGGCCTGCAGCGAGTCGTTGCAACCGTTGGAAGTGCCACGCGTGCAGGAGTTCCTCAACAGATTCAAGCAGCTGCGGATCGACATGCTCACGGGTGTAATGGCTGCCCTGAAGGACGGCAATGAGTTGCTCTCGCAGCTGGAGGAGCTGGAAAAGCTGGAGACCCTAGACACACGACCCGAGCACATCAAGCGGGATGCTACGAGGGCCGTGCACCAAGTGCAACAGTGGCTGGAGGCGCTGCATGATCGAAGAAACGACCTAGAGCTGGCTTGGCAGACGCGCAAGACACAAATGGAGCAGTGCCTGGCTCTGGGGCTGCTCGGACGAGAGCTCATCGATCTGGAGGCGGCGCTGCAAAAGGCGCGGATGGACCTCAACACAATGTACAGCCTGGGCGAGTGCGAGCACACGGCGAATGAGATGTTGGCCCGCTACAGAGAGTGGAAGCAGCAGGCGCTGCTCCTGCGCGATCGTGCACTGAAGATCACGCGAGCCAAGGAGAAGGTCCAGTCGGCGGGTATCTTCGCGGGCGATGAGGCATGTGCCCGTGCCTATGCTGTGCTCAGTGGCTGCACCGAGCACTTGGATCTCGTGGATCAGCGGGAGCACTGGCTGCACCAGTCCCGGGAGTTCTTTGCCAAGGCCGAGCACACGCTGAGTGTCCTGGAGAAGCTGGAACTGGAGCTGGCAAGCGTTAAGCTGCCACCAAATTCCCCCGAGAGCTACGCCATGTTCGCCAAAGTGGAGCGGGATGTGCGCAGCTTCACCGAGGAGCCACTGCGTCTCGGCTATGGCATACTCGACGAAGTGGGACGCACCCAGCCCGAGACGCAGGGCGTGAAGCGGGTCCTCGATGAGTTGGAGAATCGCAAGGCCTACATCGAGGGCATCTGTGCGCACAGCAGCGAGGATCAGCAGAAGGTGCAGCGTGCCCTCAGTGAGTTCCTCACGCAACACAACGAACTGTTGGCCTGGCTGCGTGCCTCCGGGCAATTGCATCTGCAACAGAGCGTGGATATGGGTCGAAATTTGCAACAATCGAAACAGTTCCTGCTGCAGCATCACGAACTTATGCAGGATTTGGAGGTGAGTAAAACAAAACTCAGCACAAGCCGTACTCAAAGTTATCCTAATCCCTTCCCAGATCAAAGGAGAACTCATCAATCTACTCCTCGAGTCCATCAAAGTCCATTTGGAGTCGCTGAGTCCGCAGCAGCGCTACGATGTCGACTCCAAGGCCGAATCCCTGCACAAACACTGGATCGAACTCAAGGATCTGGTGCTGAAACGCGTCGATCATGTCTCCCTGCTGATTGAATTCTTTGAGCAGGCCAACGAGCTCTCTAGTCAGCTGGATCACATGCAACGGCAGCTCCAGCAAACACCCGACGAGCACAAGCTGCAGTTCCTTCAGGCCACCTGGTCCAACATTATTCTCACCTTCAGCGAACTCAAGTCACGGGGACAGCGATTCATCAACTTGAAAGTCGGTATCCGAATAGGGAAAAGGGTGGCAGAATTTCTTAGTTTTAAGTTTGTCATTTTTGGAATTCTCTAAGAGCTTTGCTGCAATTTTTGCATGTTCCGCTTTGCCGCCAGCACCTCTGCTATGTTTTGCCCCATTCTAACCGCTGGATTGCAGCTGCTGACAGCTGCCACATTTGCCGCTGCAAAGCATAAAGCACAATAGCTGTGTTGGCATAAATATAACCGTTTGGCTATGGGAAATGCTTGGAGTTGAACTGAACAAAGAACTGTCGAAGGAGATAATCAGAAGTTAAATTTCTATGGAAAAAATTACTTGAATCATTGAGAGGAAGGAGTTGCACTAGGAGAGATCTACAAGATGGTTTTCCTTATAGTTTTAGAGAGTATTGCACCTTCAAATTCTACTGGCGTGAGCTTTAGATCAGATGAAAGATCATTAAAGTGTTTCTTACTAGAATTTCCTTTGAAAAAAGCTGAATATTGCTTGCAAAGATAATTGTAGTCTTCGGATCGCAAATCTTAAGTCAAGAATATCTTCTGGTGAATATTGTATTGATTCAGATTCTAATATCAACGCTTCTCCAAAAAAAAGGTCTAATCATTTCTCCATGACCTAACCGAGGACTTTTCAATCAATTTACTTGAGAAGTAGCTAAGGATCGACTGCAAAAGAGGAAAACCATTCTTCCTGGGATTCTCTGGGATATTAGCAGCATAGAGTTTACCATTTAAGCATTTCCATTGAAAATATCCATGGACTCAACACTCCAGAGAGTTTTCTTCCCCAAAATAGTCATAGAACTCCGAAAGAGTATTACAACTTCAATTTCCATGCATCCTTTGGCTGCTCGTGAGCCCATAAATTATCAACAATATGATTTGGTTGGCCATAAACATCTATTCAAAACGACAACGTCGTCACAACATCAGCCATCAACACTCCATACATACTACTCGTACATATGTACGATCAGTACATAAAACCGGGAAGAAAACGAAAAAGAGAAGAACCCAAACAGCCGCAAAAGAAAAATTTTGAAATTAGAAAATTTTGCTGCTGCTGCTGGCGGCTGTATTTCGAGTTTTCCTTCTGTTTCTCTGTTTCTGGTTCGAGTTTTCCCTCCTCGAGTTGAGTCCATAAATAAAAGCAAAGCAATTTGCGCGCTGCCAGGGCTATAGATAGGTCTCTGGTGTCGTCTCTGGTCTTCTGGCATGGCCTGGCCTGGACTCTCGCCACGTCTTGGCACTCCTCGACTCGGATTTGGATTGGCTGTTGGCTGTTGGCTGTTGGCTGCTGACTGCTGCTGATGTTGTGGCCAGAACGCACCAGACCCTGGCCAAAGGCAGATGCGTTGTGCCACGCGTCGATGTAATTTTTCTTAGAAAAAACAGAACAACTTTGCGACACTTGACGTAGAAGCAGAAACTAAAGAACCAAAATAAAATAAGGAAAAACTAATTTTCAATTTATTTTGTGTCTATTTTTGGTGCTGCACACACAAACACACACGCACAACGCACACATATACAGATTGTGGATCCATATCTTGAGACAAAATCCTCATCAAAGGCAGTGGAAGAGACGCTGAACGGTTTCAGTAAGCGGCAGTGCGACGTGACGAGCAGTTTGGAGAATTGGACAACGAACATACAAGAGAAGCGAGAAGTTGAATATTTGCTAGAGAAAGTCATGAGTGATAACGAAGAGGTACAGTACGAGCGAGACATTAAAAACCCACAAAATAACTCTAAATAAACTCGCTTTTCAGACGGTTGCCAAGAGCACCCAAGTGGACACCCAATTGTATCCAGTTTTTGGTTCCCCCTCGCTGGATACCAAGCAACTGCTCACGGGCATACGCGAGAAGCTCAATTTTGTCACGCAGGACATTGAGCGGGCACAGGAGGAGATCCAGCATCGCATACAAACGACACTGAGCATACAGACCAAGGATCAAGCATCGCTGGCCAAGATCGAGCAGGTGATTAATAATTTGCGCATGCTGAAGGCACGTTTGGATGGCATCAAGTACGATTATCGTACGCTCATCGAGAGCGTGCTGCTCTTCCTGGAGAACATTGCGCAGCTGCGGCGGGAGATCGATGAGTACTTTGCGAGGCAGCAGCAGCAGCAACAACACCCAGCCACATCTTCGGGTGGCATTGCTGTGGAGCGGAGCATTGCGGAGCATGAGAAATTCCGCGATCAGTGCATGGATAAATTTAGATCGTTAATCACACAATCCGAACTGCTGATCGATCGTGTGCGCGTACTGGAGCCACCGGGTGCACGCGAAATCGACACCGATCGCATTTTAAAGTTGTTGGAAAATCTACGCATTCACTTCGAGACGCAGTGCAGTGCGAGAATGTCGTCGCTCGAGCGTCTCGAGAAGATTGAACAGTTTCGCAATGATCTGGAGGATATTGATCGCAGTTTGGACAGCGTTAGCAAGCAGCTGCACGACATCAATGGCCAGAGTGTCGATAGTTTGGCGGCGGCAAAGACCACATCGCTGGCATTTGAGTATTTTGAACGTACCATTGAGGTGAGTGAACTTTCCCCAGCCCCGCTAGAGGTGTGTTGTGTGTCTGTCTGCTGTTGAGGTGGGTTATGTTTATAGATTTAGCGTGAAAAAAAAACAAACACAAACGCAAACAGAGCAGAGCAGAGCAGAGAGCAGTTCTTGTGTGCATAATTTAATGTTCCCCATTTATCTATAGTGTTCAATGCCCAAGCAATTGAAATCGACGCGGCATCAGCAACGTTGGGGCCAAACAGCCCACACACTCGAGGTATCACAGATACTTTTGGCATATATCTAGCTAGAAATACTCCCCACCCAAAGCCGCTGCATGAGCAATACAGAGTTCTGAATACACCCAAGACCCAACCCAAACATTCATCAAATTTCCAAATACTGCGTGCGCCATGGATGACATTTGTTTTTCGTACAAATGTTTCCTTCTCAACTATGAAAATGTTGTAGCTGTCAGCGGTGGGAACACTTGTGCCTGAGAGACAGCAGCAGCTGTCGTTAGTTTGTAATTAAAAACTTTTCAAATACATCTTTGCATAACGAGAGATACAGCTACACAGCTACACAGCTACAGATACAGATACACACACACAACATTTAGATTCAGATTCAGTTTTGCTGGCTGCCACACTCTGTTTATTGCACTTTCTTCATGTAGATATTTTCTTTTGGCTGCTTTTTTGGTAAAGATACTTTTAGATAGAGAGACGCAGAAGATTTGCTGGCTGCTTGGCTGTTGTATTTTCGTGTCTTTATTCCCCAATTTTAAGCATATATTTTCCATGTTTTAGTTACTCGAAAAACGCATTGAAAAATTCACCGAGTCAACGAGTCAGCAGCTGCTGATTACAAATCCCGAAAGCGTAGAATATGTTAAGGAGGAGCTGCACAAGCTCAACGACAAATGGCAGGGCTTCAAGGATCAAGTGAAGCAGAAACGAAAGAGTCTCAATCAGGCCACAGATTTCTTTGAAGTTGTCGAAAAGGTAAGCCGAAAAACTCTCCTTGAAAGCCCATTCTTATGCCAAATTCCCGCCCCCAGATCGATGCCGAATATCGTGAGATTAGCTACTTCTATAGCAGCGTCTCCAATAAGGTTCCCTATCTGCGCGACTCTGTGGAGGCCGCTAATCTCGTCAATGACATCGAAAACTATGTGACAAGTCGGGAGCCGGGACTCCGCGCGAAGCTGGACAGCGCCTCGCAGTGTGCCCACGACATGAGCAAGGTCTCGGCGCTCTACAACGATGTCATGAACATCTTTCAGTCCTTCATCAAGCTCAAAATGGACATCAACGTGGTGCAGGAGCGTCTCAACCAGGAGCAGCGACAGCGCGAGCAGCGGGAACGTGACTCGCGCGATCAGGCGGAGCGGGAGAAGGCGCTGCGCGAGGCAGAGGCCAGGGAGCGGCTGGCCAGGGAGGAGCAATCCCGTCTCGAGAATCAGCGACAGCAGGCGGCCATCGAGCAGGCCCAGCGAGAGTTGGTGGCCCGAGAGCTGGCACTACGCGAGCAGGCCGTACGCGAGGAGGAGTCGCGCCTGCGGACTGTGAGGGAACAGGCGGCCCGGGAGCAATTGGCCAGGGAACAAGCGGCACGCGAGGAGGAGCAGCGCATACAAGCGCTGCGGGAGATTGCCAAGCGAGAGGAGGAGGCGCGTCTGCATAGCAAACGCGAGGAGGAGATTCGCATCAAGCGGGAGGAGGAGTCGCGTGCCAAGCGTGAGGACGAGTCCCGTGCCAAGCGCGAGGAGGAGGCACGCATTCAGCGCGAGGAGATTACGAGACTGCAAACGCTGCGCGATCAGGTGGATCAGCAGCGCATCGTTACCGAGAACATACGAAAGGACATCCAAGTGAATTCCATCTTCACGGAGCTGCGCTATGCCTCGCCGCTGTTCGTGCGTCCCCTCAAGGATGCGGTGACCCGCGAGGGCGTTCGTTTCGTCTTTGAATGTGAGGTCACGGGCACACCAGAGCCCACCGTTGAGTGGTTCAAGGATGGCATTAGTATCCTCAGCCATGCCGACTACAAGACCAGCTTCGACAAGGGCATATGTCGGCTGGTGATCGAGGAAACCTTTGCCGCTGACACGGCACGCTTCAGCTGTCGTGCCGCCAATCTGGTGGGCACCTGCGACTCCAATGCCACGCTGGCGGTGCGCGAGAATGCCGCCGAGGTGCAGCTGGTGCCGCCGCGCATTTTGCGCTTCCTCGAGAGCGGCAAGGCCACCGAGGGCAGCTCCTTCCAGTTCGGTTGCATCGTCACGGGTGTGCCCCTGCCCACTGTGCAGTGGTTCAAGAACGACAAATGCATCGACGACTCCCCGGACTATGTCATCAGCTACAACAATGGCGAGGCGACGCTACGCTTCGAGGAGGTCTTCCTCGAGGATGATGCGGTGTACACCTGCAGTGCCTCCAATCCAGCGGGCATCGAGCACTGTTCCGCCAGTCTGATTGTGGAGCGTAAGTAAAAGACTACCGCAAACCCAATGCAAAAGATTGATCTATAAAAATCTCTCTTCGTTTACAGCCTTGGAACCCACAGAGCTGCCCAGCTTCAAGGTGCCCCTGTCCAATGCCATGGCACGTGTGGGTCAAAAGATCAAACTGGAGGCAATTGTGAGTGGCATACCCCGGCCGGACATCTGCTGGGTGCACAATGGCAAACCGTTCCAGCCACGCGATGCCAAGGTGAGTTCTGTTTCTTCTTTCTACCACACTTGGGGGCAACAATCCCATCAAATATATGCCATATCTCTTTGAAAATACTCAAATGTTGCAGATCGTATTTTATACAAATTATTGTGAATTTTTCTTTGTCTTTTCTTTGTACTTTCTGTGGAATTCCATCTTTTTTGCATGCAAATTTCAACAAATTGATTTGTGTATAAAGGAGAAAGTGATGTTTTTGTACACACAGAAGAGGGAGATACCTAGGGAGAAGATTGAGATTGATGTGGGTAAAGATTGGGAAGATTAAAGAATAGTTTTCAATGTTTAATGGAAATGTAATTCGACCAAAATGTTGAGAAATATGCTAACAAAAATGATTGCCGTACTTATAAAATACGAAAAATTAAATTCATTTCAAATATAATAAATATAATAATAGAAGACTTACCTTATGTATAAATGTACATATATCAGCGTTGTCAACTTCCAGAGAACACTAGAAAAAAAGATAGAGATAAGCTTTAAAATACTAGAAAATAAATACTGTTTATGCTTTAGAAAATTCTAGAAAAATACCATAATATAATTTAAATATTTATTTGAAACTGATATAAAATGATCAGAGTCCTCTAAAAATACTAGCCTCGAGATGTCTTCCAGTTTCAGTACAGAAAAATGTTGACACATTTTTGACCCTGGTAAAACTTTCACTACACAGCCATTTCTGCCAGCCATTTCCGAAAAACAACTTCTCAGACCCCCCAAGCAAGGCAACGCAAAGGGTAAACAAAGAATTTCAAGTAAAAGAAAATCCCACCAAGCACAATTCCCCAATTTCCATGCCACCTTCATGGCCCTCCCTCCGTTCACCATGTGTCTGGCGATTGGCAATTTCCATATAGACAGTGCCATAGAATATAGTAGATAGATACATACAGACATACATATATTCGCGAATATTGCAAACTTTTGGCTGGAAAGCAAAAGAGAACAGCCTGAATATCAACCCGTAATATTCTATATTTTGTGGCTGCTTGGTGGGCGTTTTCCAAAATTTGGAAAATAAAATATCTTCATGTTTTAGTTTCTCAGATCGAGATGGAACGAACTTGACTGACGTCAGTGATGGGTTGAATGCGTAGACGCATCAGATGCTCCCTTGGATTGATGATCTACACATCGACAACATCCTCTGCGACTGGCACTGCCCCTGCCACATTCAAATGTGAGAATTCAAGGCAAATATTTCTGAAAATACGCCAACGCACTTTGTCTTTCGATGCAATTTACAGCAGATCATATACGAGTATAGCTGCCATATAATATCTAATAGCTGCAACTTATTTTGGCAGCTAACACTCGTCGCATACTCTGGCTGCTGTTGCTGCTGCTGCTGCTGTGTGTGGCAACGAGCCGTGCAGCGTGTCGTGGCGTGGCGCAAGGCGAATTCAATTCACCACAGTGTGGCAGTCACAGTCAACCCAAAACCCGAACACCCCCAGCCCCACAGCAACACATCTCAACTTATCCAAAATTGAACCCCTATCCCGCTCCTGGGCTGTCGCGCGTCAGGCAATTTGTTTATTGTGGGCGCCAAGCATTGTATATACAAGATATGCAAAAAGATATGGATACATACTCGTATAATCCAACGAAAAAGTAGATGAAAAATTGCGAAATGATTCCATTGGACGGCTACTAAAACATTTAATTGCCATTCTGTCATGCCGCAAAACATGATCTCACTTTTGCTTTTCAATCACTAGATTAAAACCTATTTTAGTAATTTTAGTTTTAGTATTTGAAAAGTGATCTTTGTTCCACCAAAAACACCTGTACTCAGGTGCTTCCTGCAATTTGGGTAAACAAAAGGAGCTTGTTCTTAGGCCACCGCCGGATGCGCTCACCAGAGTTTCCAATTGCTGTGGCACATCCGCAGCACACACAAAACAGACACACAAAAATACAACACAAAGCACACACAAAAATCATATAAATAAGATTGAAAATTTGTGTAAAAAAGAAAGAAACATTTGAATTGGCAAAAAGAAAATAAAAGAAGAGTAAAATCCAAAAGAACAAATGAAACAAAAACTAGCACAAACACGAAAGCATTAGCCTCGGTTCGCATCGGACCCGTTCGGGGCATCTATTCGGGTGTGGTGAATACGAGTGAATACTGAATGAATGCCCCCTTGGCTTTGGTTGATTTTTCTGTTGATTTTTCCAATGATATTTTCTGGTCTGTACTTTCAGTATGAATACGGCCGCGTAACGCTGATAATCCCCCAAGCTTATCCCAACGACGCCGGATCGTACGTGCTAAGCGCCAAGAATCTAGCCGGAGAGGCATACACTAGCTGCAACGTCATTGTCAAGGGTCGACTGCCCAACGAAACGTCCGATTCCGAGATGGCCAGCGACATAGAACCGATCAAGCCGGCGGTACATTTACCCCTGAAGGATGTCTCCATATTTGAGGGAAAACCTGTGCGCTTGGACTGCGTGATTGTGGGTCAGCCGGAGCCAGAAGTCATTTGGTATCACAACGAGCGACCCGTCAAGGAGTCCGCCGATGTGCAGCTGCTGTTCCAGGGCGATCGTTGTTCGCTGATCGTCCAAGAGGTGTACCAGGAGGATGCAGGGCACTACAAAGTGGTCGCCATCAATTCAGCGGGCGAGACATCTAGCAGTTGTGAGCTGAAGGTCACGCCCTTGAACCAGGCAGAGCCTGCCACACGCGCACAAGTGGAGCGGCAGAGCCTGCCGAAGGATGCGCAACCGAAATTCGAGCGTCTGCTGTCCGATGTTCTGGCGGATGAGGGCGAACAGGTGGTGCTGGAGGTGCAGGCCAGCGGTGATCAACCGCTGAGCGCCCAGTGGTATCTGACCAACAAGGAGCTGCAGCTGGACAATCGTGTCACGGCCACCGGGGATGCCGAATCGGGCATCTTCAAGCTGATCCTGAACAATGCCAGCGTCGATGACAAAGGTGTCTACACGGTGAAGGTGTCCAATCAGGCGGGCGATGCCAAGTGCTTCTCCCATTTGATTGTCAAGTCTGTGAATGCCCCCGAGAATCGTCGCAGCAGTCAATCCTCCGTGGAGATTGTGGAGCGACTTGCCTGTCCCGAGTTCAAGGAGCTCTTCAGCGACAAGCAGGGCAGCATCGATGACGTCGTCAAGTTCGAGTGCATTGTCAAGGGCAGACCCACGCCCAAGGTCCATTGGTTCTTCAACGATCAGCCCGTGCATGGACACAATTTCCTCGTCTCGACGAGCGGCGATCGCCAGGTGCTGACCATACAGAAGCTCACCCACGATGCCGTTGGCAAGATTAGCTGTGTGGCCGAGAATGAGGCGGGCAAGGCCACCTGCGTGGCCTTTCTGAACATCATTGGCAGTGGCTTGCCCGCGTCCAGTGATCTGCAGACCATGACCCAGGAGCACAATACCGAATCCTCGCGTGTGACCATCAAGAAGCAAACATTCACCACCACCTCCACCTCGCAGGTGAACTCCTACGAGGGTAATGTGCCCCAGACAGAGGTGCATCACTCCTCCGCGCACATTGATCAGTCCCTCAAGCAATTGGGCCAGCAACGGCCCGAGATCATGGAGAGCCATCACTACCAGGAGCTGCACAAGAGCAAGGAGATGAGCTCGCCCAGTCTGCAGCAAAAGTCCTTCACTGTCGTTCAATCTGCATCCAATGGCGGCGGTGCTTCTCCACTTCCTGCCATAACCATGCCCGAGTCCCCCACTCGACTGCGCAAGGAGATTGCGCCTCGTTTCACCACTCCCCTCACCGGCAAGATTGTGGATCAGGGCGCCGATGTCAGCATGGAGGCCATCTACGATGGCTATCCCTCGCCAGAGATCAAAGTGGAGAAGAATGGCGGCCAGCTGTTCGACGATGCCCATACGAAAATCTCCAATAAATTCAATCGCGTCACCATCGAACTCAAGCAGGTGGGCGTGGCTGATGCGGGACGCTATGCAGTGACAGCCTCCAATGCGGTGGGGCAGTCGACCAGCACCGCCGATTTGGTGGTTAAAAGTGAGTATTATCTTGCTGCTTTTTTGGGGATATATAATTTATGGGCTATTTTAGGGTATATTTGATGCTCTTTTACGGGTTCAGGGTTGCCTTCAGTTGTGGCCATCAATTTTCAGGAATTTTCAGGGGCAAGCCTGTCCCCAGAGCAAGGCATGAGCAAATAAATTCCCATTTTCCCCACAATAATCCATCATTTTGGACATCAATTGTGTGGACATTTTCTTTATTTGCTGTTTTATGAGAATTTTTAAAGAATTTTTAGCAACTCTCCAAAGTTTGAAATTGAAAAAAATTTAGATAAAAAATCAACTTGATCAAAATTTCTGCCAAAATTTCTATGAGATGATCCTTTATGTGGATAGCTAATGCTCCACAGGCCATACAGTGAAGTTTACGCACTGAAAGGAGCTAGAAATAATCCAGCTAAAAAGGGATTCATGGATATAAACTAAGTCTAAAACATTTCCTGCCCAAGGGATTTCCCTACAGCTAATATTTTCCTCTACTGCCACAATTTACACACATTTTAAAGCCATACAAAAATTATATATTCTACAAAAAGCAGTTCCCAGAATTAATCAACTAGCGAAAAGTGCACAAATATATCGAAAGATTAAATATAGTATAGAAAGAGTCGAGTGTAGAGCATACACATGTTCTACTCAGACCAGAGATAGACCCTAAATCATATGTTACCCGTCCGCTTGTCCGTTCGTGCCACACATCAATCAGCGTAGAGCATTAAAGTGTCATTGTGTATGGATCTTCAAACGTCAATGCCTCGCCGTCAGCCAGGCAGCAGCTCCCTTGCGGAATATTGATGAGTTTTTAGTGGGGTCGATTGTTGTTTTTGCTGTTGAAATTTTTCAATAGTTTGGGGTCCCGGGCAGCAGCAAAATCTTGGCCAAATGCAAAAGATTTTCTTACACGAACATTTATAAATATTCTTCGTTGTGGGTGTGGTGTGGGGTTGGGCTGGCTGTTGGCCTGTGGTTGGGATGGTGGGGATTCTATAGGATGTGGATGTGGCTGTGGATATGTGGGGGCTGCTGTCTGATGTCTGCAATTATTATTATGTAAATGGCGATCGTTTATTTACTCGTAGATTTCAGCAGATTTTCTGTCGTCTTGTGTGGTTTTTCTTGTGGGGGTTGGGTTGCACGGATTATCTATATATATAATTTTACTGCCTGCCTGATGTCCAATGTCTAAGCGAATTATTCATTATGGCTGCTGATTCAAGTAAATTTTAACCACAAACAAAATAACAGACAGAGATCTCTAAGATCTTGCAATGACACCAAAAAAGAAAGAGCAGGCCAATGTTTATGTTCCATTGAGTGTTCTCCATTAGCCTTGCGGTTAACCCAAACTTAAAGATGTTTCATCTGGCGACCATCCTTGAGTATCTCTCATGTGTCTCCATCTTTTCTTGCTTCATTTTAGAGACCATCTTTCCGCCAGTCTTTGGCAGACGCTTGCAGGCGCAGGTCGCGAAAAAGGGTGAAAAATTAATAATGGAAGTTGAGGTCACAGGACTGCCGGATCCCACGGTGCTTTGGCTAAAGGATGATAAGCCCATACAGGATGCTGGCATATCACCACACCGTTTGCTTGCACAGGGCAACTGCTATCGTTTGATTATTGAGAAAGGTAATACATACTGAAAGAATCTTTAAAGGATCTACTTTATTGTCCCCGTACTTTCGTTGCAGCACAAATCTCAGACTCTGGCAAGTATATGGTGAGGGCCACCAATGCTGGTGGTGAGGCCAAAAGCATTGCCGACTGTGCCATACTGGAACCATCGCCAGAGCGACTCCAAGAGGTGGTCAAGACCATTGTCTTTGAGACCACACCCACAACGGCAGCTCTGAGCGATTATAAAACTGAAGTAAGTGTGCATGTGCTCAATATTTAACACATAAATCAACCAATCAATCATCGATCTATGCATTATCCTACATATTTCTACTTTGATTCGATTTGAATTCGTTGCGAAATTCGTTCAATGATTCGATCTACTTCGATGCCAAAAACTATTCTAATTCTAAAGCTAATTCTATTCTATTCTAAAATCTATTTCTACTCTTTTTTCGACTCTGTTAAGTTTACATTACAAGAAAGTTTTTGATTTTACTCAAACATTTTATTTTAATAAACCAAAAACCTTTTTTCTTTGTGAATTTTTTCTCTCTACTCTCTCAATCAACGTCGTGTCCTCGCGTGTCCTTGCTCTCCGCTCGGTTTGGTTTCTTCGCTTTGATCATACCACACACACACACACACACATACACACATCCACCATTTGGGTATGCCACTCATCGTGCCACACATTCTGTGACTGAAGCAGCAGCCTAAGCAGGATTCCCAGTCATATCAGAGCACTCAGAGCGATGTGACACATGCAAATGATTTGCATGGCTTATCCGAATCAAAAGTGATCACTGAGCATCGTTGCACCACCGAGGCAACCATGCGTCTAGAGCACAAATCGGCCTTCAATCTGGAACTGCCACAGCTGACTGCGCGCCCCAAGACACCAACAAGCAGCGATATAACCACCGATATAACCGATACAGCCACCTACCACACCACAACAAACACTGCCGCCCCGAAAACACAGGTACAGACACCGCTCCAGACCCCGTACGCATCCAGCTATAAGACTGGAATAACACAAACCCCACCGCCAGTGCCGCCCAAACCCTGTACGCCAGTGGTGGCAACACTTTATGGCCAACAGCAGCAGCCACAGATGCAAACGCAGACCAACACCAGATACGAGCAGAGTGAACACAAGTCAACGAAATCCTCCTCCTCGTCCTTTGATTACTTCAAGAAGATCGATGAGGAGACCATCACACAGCGACCCAAGCCGCTGGCCTTTAAGCCACTGGAGACCCTGGTGCGTCAGCCGCATGCCCAGAGCCTGGCAGAGGAGCTGCGCAGCCTCAATCTGATACCTGGCGATGCACCCGAATTCCTCTACGAGCCCAAGACCGAGCGCAAGGAGCCCAAGGTGCCGCTTATCAATGAGAAGATCAAAATCCTGTCGGAGGTGCAGCCCATGGAGCCGCCACCGCAGGGCGGTGTGCCCGTCTTTCCACCACCGCTGGGCGCACTGCAGAGCGTGCAACACGAGACGACACTCACGAAGGAGGTCAAGGTGGAGTATGGCCAACCGATTGTGCGTCCTGCAGCCGTCTTGGCCACGCCCGCACAACAGAATCCGCGTTCGCCCTCGCCCAAGCCCTCGGCCGAGGGTGTGGCCATGTCCAAGCTGTGGACACCAGCGGGTGTTGCGGCACCGCCACCAGCAGCCGCCACCACGCCCACAAAGGAGCTGAATGCACCCTTCCTGGTGCAGCAAATAGCCAAGAGCATACCACCCCAGCCGGTGACCCATTTGGTCAATGTCGGTCTGGAGCCGGGCACACCGCCCGAGATCTGTTTTGCACCCAAAACGGAGGAGCTGAGTCGCCGCCGGTCGCTGGTGGAGAGCATGGAGCAGAAACTGGAACAGAATCTGCTGCAGGGACCGCGCAAGGTGTTGCCCCATTCGGTGCCGACTCTGACGCCGCCTGCACCCAGCGACTATCGCCCAGCGCCGCAAGCTCCGAGCGCCTACCGCCCACCGCCTCCAGTGCTGCCCACACGTTTGGGTGTCTACGAGAGCGACTACGAGAGCGATCGCTACAAGTACAGTGGCAGCGAGAGCGATGCGGAGCCCCGAGCACAGAAGCCCATCACTACGGAGACCTTCAAGTCGAGTGGCTATGCGGCGGACACCGAAGAGCATTCGAATTATAGGAAATCCGAGAGCAGTTACTACGAAACAAAGTCATCGTCATCGATGACAACAGCAGCAGCCGGGCCACAGCTGCAGCCAGAGCCACCTGCAACGATCTATTATACACCAAAGGCGCCACAACAGGCACAACAGCCGCCACAGTTGCCACAACAAAAGCCAAACCAAGAGGCGAAGGTTCGCAATTTAGATAACAAAATAATTTCTCTCTGTATTTGTGTGTGTGTCTGTCACTATATCTGTGTGTTGTTCTAGTTGTTGTTGTTGTTTGTTGTTTGTTGCTGCCACTAAAAAAGAATTTGCTCTCCACTTAACCTTCATTTTAAGTCTTCATTTTCGTTGTTTTAAAATCCCTAAAACATGTTCTGCACTTGCCTGATCTCTAATGTCATTTAATGTGTGTCTATTCCACCAATAATTATACATAAATTAACAGACTTTTATCCACTTTAATCTATTCCTTTAGGACTTCTTTGCCAGCTCGAAGCTGACCAGCAATTACTCGCACAACATGCAACAGACAAGCAGCAGCAGCAGCTCCACGCACCATCAGGAGACCAAGTACAGCTCCACGCTGCCTTCTGTGCGGAGTCCTGTGCCCGTGCTACTGCCGCAACCGAGTCCGGTGCCTGCACAGCGTAAAACCCCAGCGACCGAGTTCAGTGATTACAGCAGCGAGGTGGATGAACGTTTCCGTTCGGTGTCCCGCACCAACGAATCGGATGCGGACATCAAGGGTTATCGTGTGGTCTTTCCGCCCACACCCACACCGCGCACAAATGTGGCCACAAACGGCCACAAGTCGCCAGTGGTGGTGATTACACCCTCGCCCATGGAATTCGAGCCAATGCTACACGAGAATCGGCCCAAATTCGAGCCCATTGGCAAGGAGATTCGTCATGAGATCAAAACGGAGACTAGCAGCAGCAGCAGCAGCTCGAAGCAATCTAAGTTTACCCAGCAGCAGCAGCAGCCCTTGTTCAAGCCCAAGCCTGTGGCAGCAAAGTTTATAGCTGCCACACAGCAGCAGCAGCAGCAGCAGCCTACACGTCCGACCATGTACTACAATGCTGTTGCTGGTGCCCCCATGCACCTGGCGAAGGTTGCCACAGAGACTAAAAACTCAATGCAGATGCACGAGTCCACGGAGAGCTCTCAGCGTGTGGTCAATATGCAGCAGACCAAGCGGATCATACACTTTGACAGCCAACAGGAGCAGCGCCAGTTGGAGCCCTTCCCTTATAGTCCTGCCCCAAGTCGTACGCCTTCACGGCAATCGCATCTGCCGCCGCCGGCCACGCCCACGAAATTTATACCCGGCGAGTTCCGGGAGAGCGACTACGAGAGCGAGGTGGAGGCTGGTTCGCGCATACAACCGCTTTGGTCACCCTACGGCGATGGCACGACCCGTGGATATCGTCGTGTGGCACCGCCCCAAGGCTCGGCACGCTCCTGCAGCCTGCCACGCGCCTACGAGCGAGTGCTCTCACCCATGGAGTTTGATCGGGGACCCGAAATGCCCACCAAAATATACGTAGATGTGAATACGTTGAGGAAGGAGCAGCGTGGCGGCAGCACTGTGACCACACAGCACAGCACTCAATCGCTGAACAGAAATACCACCATGAGGGGACAGCAACAGCAGCAGCAACAGCAACAGCAACAGCAGTCCATGGATCAGATAGATAGGGCTGGTACCCTGCCACGCTGTGGATACAGCAGCAGCAACACCCTGCAGCAGCAGGCCGAGGGCCAGGGCAAGCGTTTGGGCTCCACTTTCCTACAGAAATCCCATCAATTCATCGATGAAATCAGCAGGGATGTGCAGCAGCAGCAGCAGCAGCAGCAACATCAAAGGAATGGCCATGGCCATGTGCTGCGACCAGGATTCAAGCGTGCACCCAGCGAGGGCAGCAATCAGCCGCAGGCTTTCCGCGATGAATCGCGCGTCTCCCAATACGGTGAGTGTCCTTACAGTCTCCCCCTAAAAATCTTTCAACTAATCCAACAGTAGTTACATTTCCATTATCTTCATCTTTGAATTGGAAATTTTATTGAATTTTATTGAATTTTTTATTATTTGAATTGGAATTTGTAAAAGTTGCTCAAAATTTGAGCTTGAAAAATTGGTTTGAGAAATTCTTTCTGTCTTTTGTTTTACGCCTGATAGAAATTCATACAAAATACCCTACTAATAACCCAGAAACTCCTTACGTTTTTATCTGTGTTTGTTCCTTTGTATCTATAAGATTTACATATTTCCCCTCTCTAAAAATATGCTGTAAAAATCAGGCACGAAATGCATCGATCCCAATACCGGTTTGATCTATTTCAAATACGATTTCGGCTACGAATTTGGCATACTCTTTCCCGGCGAGGGCCACAAGTTTGTCAGTAGCCAGTGGAACAGCAAGGGCAACAGCAGCAATGCGCCCATCCAGAATGGTGGCCGGCATTCGCCTTACCCTTTGAAATTGGCGCCTGGAAATGAGCTGATAATACCCGTGCAACATGAGCATACGGGAAGGTCGACACCAGCTGCGCGCGGCTATGGCTCTGGCTATAACTCTGCTCCTGGCTATGTCCCCACTCCTGGCTATAACTCCGCTCCCAGCTATGCTGCCACTCCTGGCTATAGTTCCGATAACGAAACCCAACGTCGCCATGTCGGAGCTGCTGCCGGCGTGCGGTTGGCACCGCGCTACAATGCCCAGAAGCGTTACAGTCTACCCAGCAGCCACAGCCTTGACGTACATCTCGATCGTTTGCACGCCCAGGCGCCGCGTCTGCCAACCGACCAGCAACTCGTTCGCACAGGTACAGCAAAAAAAGGGAGCCACCAAAATGCACAGGATGCGCACTCCATCAAACAATCAAAACGCTGATCTAATGCCAACAAAAAATCACACCATTTCGCTATCGATGTTGTCAAATTGTTTCGTATTAGTCTGCTCAATTGTTATAATTAACACTGATCAGCCATCGTCACTGCAGTCAGTCTCTGTGTATAAATACCATAAAGCATATAGAAATATAGCATCCAGGCGTGTCCTTAACCCCAAAAAGCATGTTAACTTAACCCTCAAAGGAAAGGTCTAGCAACCTTTCTTTTGGTTTTATTCTTTTGCTCGCCTTTGCCTCGTTTTTGTTTGTTGCATGCAAAAGCTCATGTGTGTGTTTGTTTGTGTTTTGTTCGTTTGTGTTTTAAAAATTGTATAAACAAAAGTGAAAGAAAAAATATATAAGTTGATGTGCCGCCCGCTCGCTCGCGTTTTGCTGCCTAATCCCACTAATGGATGATGCTCCGCTTTGAGTAAAAAATAAACAAAATAATGCCCAGAAGCCAAGAGATTTTCCTAATGGTTTTTCATCCGTTTTGCTCTCTATGGAAATGCTGCAGTGCCGGAACTGCCCAATACTGAACCCGTCAATGCCCATTTGAGCCGCGATGAGCAGGCACAAAGGCAGCCATTATTCATAACGGTAAGCGCCAGTCATTTACCTTCGACCTCAACCGGCTACCACTCTGTAATCTCTACTCTCCATATCTCTCTGTGCTCCATGAAGCCCCTGAAAGACATTTCAGTGGGCGTGGGGGGCACAGCCCGTTTCGAATGCATTGTCCAGGCCCATCCGCAGCCGCAGGTCAACTGGAGCCACAACGGCGGGCATTTGGGGCACGGCAGTCGGCATTTCATTGAGTACCGGAACGGTGTGTGCCGTCTAACACTGCCACAGGCCTATCCGGGTAAGTGTTCATCATAATTGGGGGCACAAGCTCATTATCCATCTCTCTCTCTCTCTCTCTCTCTCTCTCAACCCATCCAAATTTTGATTTATTTTTCAGACGACAATGGAAGCTACGTTTGCACCGCCATGAATCCCCTGGGAGCCGCTAGCACGAGCGGAACTCTGAATGTTTCGAGCACAAATCGTGGATTTAGATATTAAGAGATGGCATTCAATACACAACATAAAGTGTACTATTATTTATTTATTTAATTTATGAATTGTTCAATGCCAAAGTTTTGCCTTATTGAAATTGTAATTGTGTTCGTTTTGTGGTGCCTAAAAAACTATACTACAGGCAACACAGCTATCCCATCAGATCAGCCCGAGAGGATGCATGCAAAAATAACAAAAAGGAATTATAGTATTACTTGTGTTTTTTCTGTCGAAATATCAAAAAATAAATCAAATATGAAAACGAGCAAAATTGGTTTTTCTCTTCAAATGGAATTTTCGGAAGGTGGAATCGCTTTGCGTTCAACATTTTCAGGTTTTTGGAGGTCTTTGATTTATTATTATAATTTATTTCTTTAATTTGATGGTTTTCCTTGCCTTTAAATTGATTTTCGCTTTTGGTTATAAAGGGTTTTCTATCAATCTTAGGTATACATTGTAATTTATTTCCCTTTTTTATGGACTTTCAATCGCTTTTCTACTCGAATTTAATGTCGCTTTAAAGATCACTTCCACTGGCGCTCCCTATAGTGAAAATCTGGTAATCTTTGTTCGAAAAAGCTCGCCATTTTCGAAAAAGCTTTCGGGAAACTCTGTCGTTGGATGGCGCCAACTGATCGCTTCATTTTAAACACTTCCAAGTAACAGGAAATATTCCTCAGAATAAATATTTTAAAAATATTTTCGATTTATGAAGACAATCTGATAGGTCAAAAAATTTCGAAATTCCCAAGAATTATTGTAGTTCTGTAAATATTCCCTTATAAGCAAAAGTTGATTGATAATTTTGTAAATGTTTACATTCCGAAATACTTGAACCGCATTCGTTAGATCTTTTTTGGGATATATATTCTGGCAAATTGATTCCGACATTAATAATATTTTTCTTTGATAAACTTTGATACTTTGTGGGGCTGCTCTCGTGATTAATTATTGTTTTAGCGTACAATTTGTGGTGCTGCCAACTGGAAAAAATGATCTTCCGTATGTTATTCTGAATGAATTACAAAACTTAAAAAGTTAATTTTTCATCAACGAAATTTCAAAAGTTACTCATTGCCACTAAAATACCGAGCATTTCCTCTGTAGTTCCTATAGAAAATCAGGTCAGAGTTACGGGACAGAGGAAAATGTCTAAACAAATGTTTGGATTTGTGTGGAATGAAAATATGTATGTTCTCGTTCAGGCAGGTTTCGGTTTCTTCGCTTTGTTGGCTCATAAATGATTTATTTGGGGTTTTCGGCAGCGTTTATTTATCTAATTTTCTTGGCATCTCGCGTTGGCTCTTCCTTTTTGTCTCGATCGGATCGCTTGCCAAGAATCGAATGGCGCAAAATGCGAGAAATTCGCTACGAGACGGCCACGGACGGCTAGCAGACATAAACACACTCTTCAAGGGGCCCGGGTGCTGCCTGTCAAGTCAAGGTAATGGGTCCACGTACAGAGAAGACCCAGCAGAATGTGGGCCTCCGTTCTGTTCCTCTCCCTCTGTGGCTGTGGCAGGCAAGTCCTTGACACTGACACGAAAATCTATGGCAATACCTGAACGGCGTCGATGGTGCCCTCGTTTTACTGGCCACCCACTCGTCCACTAATTTTGGGATGGATGACACACTTCTGTCGATGATTAGTTGTGGGTTTTGTGGGTGTAGTTGTTCCTCGCTGCCAATCTGCCAATTTCGTCTTGTGGGCCAAAGTGCTCGGTGTTTAGGCCATTAGGCAGTGGTCCAAGTGTCCTCAATTGCATGTTATGTTACTCAGCAGCAACAAACCCCCGAAAAACACTTCTGAATCATTAGCAGTGCATCGTTTGCGATTCAGCACGAATAATTCTCATTGAAATCAAACATATGACTCGGATCTTGATTTTATCCACATATATTAATGACTCATTAAATTGCTTATAAAATTGGAAAATACATAGATATATTCCCAAAAACTCTGTCAAAGAAAAAGAATTCATAAAGATGGAAAGAAAACAAGAGAAATATGAAAAACATTTCGCATATGCTGCGGCCCCAGTGTCCGTGCCCGGCCTTGTGCCAGCTGCTTTTTTGTGTCTATATTTTAATGTTGGCCATTTCATTTGTATACTGTTTGGCACATTTGCGAAATTTCTTTCGCTCTAGCATCAGTCTTGTTTCCCTTCATGCCCCCCCTTGCTGGACAAACACAATCTGTGCAAAGCGTGGGGCAAATGGTGTGCCATAGTTTCGATATTTTGGTAAATGTTAGATAGCCATGGACAAGCATTTTACGGTCTTATCTATGTTTGATTTTTTATGATATTTCTGAATCGGAATCTAGGATAAACTTTGTTCAAAATGAGAAAACTCTGGAAACAGTAGAACTCCTGTTTGCTGTTAATGGAACACACATTTCCCTCATATTTATTCTGCTTCTGAATCTTCTCTCCATGTGTTTTTTCAGGCATGGGAAATGTTACATCGAGAGTAAACCCTTTGGTTGTTTAGTGAATATGATACTGTAGCAGAAATGTTCCTTATAAAGCGGAAAAATTGTAAATTGAGGTATTATTTTTAAATATAAATCTGGAAGCGCTCATAGCACAAGGGTTCTTTCTATCAGTTTTAAAGGAAAAGCCTTTGTTTTTATTTTTGAATCCTTTCTACATTTACTCTTTCATTTATTATTTTACTGGACTTTATTGGAATATTTCTACTCTTGCA